CCCCATGCCTCCTTACCTCTACCTACCAGAGCCATGCAGAGCGCCATGATGCCTTAGGCTGCTGGGAAGGGGGTGGGAGAAGGGAGGGGGGGATGAACGGAAGGAGGGGACTCCACTGTGGTCCAGGCAGGGTGCTGCTGGGAGGGAAGGGAAAAGGGAGAGAGGAGGAGGTGAGTGAGAGGGTGGACTTCACTCTCCTGTCCTTGCTCCAGTGCTCCCACTCTAAGGCTGCAAAAAAGACAAGGGGGGGAGGGGGAAGAGAGAGAGGAGAGAATCAGACTACCATACCTCACCTGATACCTTACCTCGCCTGTTACCGTACCATACCTGATACCACACCTCCCCACAGCTTCAGCTAGCCTAGCCTGCCCCCTAACCCCCACCCCCACCGCTGCTACTGCTGCTGCCGCCACTGCTTCTGCTGCTGCAACTGCTGCTGCCGGTCCTCTACTCTGCTACTTTGCTTCCTCTTCTGAAATCTTCACTTGTTGCCATGTGACCTGGTAGAGGGCAGAAAGTAAGGGGGGGTGGGGAGGAGGGACGGGAGAGGAGGGGCAGGAGAAGCGAGTAAGTTGGCATCAAGGAAACACTCAAGTAAACCGAAGAACACTAGAGTGGACAAAAACGAGAACAATAGAGTGGACAAAAACGAGAATGCAGAATTGAAGAGAGGGAAATGAGGCATCTGTAGCAGGGAGGGGAAAAGAGGCTCACCTTGTTTCAGACGACCCATCCCGATACTCTCCCATCCCATCCCAGCCGAGTGGAGTGCTGCCCCCCTCCCCTCCCACCACTGCCACCTGCACGGCCACAGGGGAGAGACGTGAGGGAGTGGCGGTGTTGACCCCCACGCCCCTCCCCTCCACCTGCAATGGCCCACAGAGAAAGAGTGAGTGACTGGAGGAGAGGCGAGGGGGTGAAGGAGGAGATGCACGATCAGAAGAAGCAGAGGGGAAGGGGCCACTGGTGCAACCTCAGTTACAAGCCACAGACCCAAGGGGGAAATATACCTAGGAATGGTTGACCTGAGAGTATACCTGCTGTACCAGGGGGGATCTACCTTAGAAAAAAAAGGTCTGTGGCTTGAAGCTTTGGCTGAACCAGAGGCTTGCGTTTGAAGCGAGAAGAATCAGGAGATGCAGCAAAGAACACAAGAGAGAACGGGAGTAGAGAGGCAGGGCAGGAACTTAGCTGTGGGTGGGTTGGGTGGAGAGCAGCTGCTGCCTGTGCACTCCATCTCCCCCGCCACTGCCACTTCTGTATGAGCGAGGGGAAGGAGTGGGGGAGGGGAGGGAGGCAGGGAGCAAGGGAGAGCAGTGAGCATGGTGGGGAGAAGAGCAAGCAACGGCGTAACAGAAAGAAAGAACAGACATTCAAGCATCTGAGGCAGGGAGGGGAAAAGAGGCTCACCTTGGTTCAGACGACCCAGCCCGATACTCTCCCATCCCATCCCAGCCGAGTGGAGTGCTGCCCCCCTCCCCTCCCACCACTGCCACCTGCATGGCCACAGGGGAGGGGTGTGAGGGAGCGGCCGTGTTGACCCCTACGCCCCTCCCCTCCACCTGCAAGGAGAGAACTGAAGTCAAGTGAGTAAGCGGCTAGAGGGAACAAGGTGAAGGGTGTGCATGGGTGGGGTGGGGTGGGGTGGGATGGCAGGCAACAGCAGGAAAGGGGGGCACTGGTGCAGCTTCAGCTACAAGCCACAGACTCAAAGGGAGGCTTAATCTGAGAGGATACCTGTACCTGGGTGGGGTGGTTTACCAAAAAAAAGGGTCTGTGGCTTGAAGTTGTAGCACGACCAGAGGCTCAGGTTTGAAGGGAGGTTCAGGTCTCTTGGGTGTGACAGAGGGCAGCACATAATAGAAGGAAAGGGCGGGCACTTAGCTGTGGGTGGGTTGGGTGGAGAGCAGCTGCTGCCTGTGCACTCCATGTCCCCCGCCACTGCCACTCCCGTGTGAGCGACCTGCTAGGAGGGAAGATCGGGACAGAGAGAGAAAGGGAGGAGGGGGGGAGGAAAACGGGGGAGTGAAGGGGGGGGAAGAGTGGAGAGAGCAGTGAGGATAGAAGCCAAGACAAGTGAAAGTGAAGAGTGCAGCAAGTGCAAGAATAATGCGTGCATGAATGGACTGCTGCAGTGGCACACCCAAGAGACCTCGTACCGGCTGAACCAAACTAAAACGAATACCTGAGGCTGTACCGAGAAAAAAAGATACCTACTACCTTGGGGGAGGGAGGTCTAATGGGTGTGACAATGAGCAGTGAAAAAGGGAGTGTAATGCATGGTGCAAGCATGACAAGCAAAGCAACGCAGTGCGAGGGTTGGCAAAAGAGAGGAAGGGTGGGTTACTTAGCTGTGGGTTAGTTGGGTGGAGAGCAGCTGCTGCCTGTGTGCTATCCATGTCCCCCGCCACTGCCACTCCCGTGTGAGCGACCTGCTGGGACAACAAGAAACCATGTTAACTAAACCATTGCATGTATTCACATTCATACACCAACCTATAATTTCACCGCTCTAATATGATCATCCATACGCTGTGCGCTGAGTGTGTCTGGCATCTCTTGTGTGTGTTGTGCGCTAATATCAGATTTTTTTTGTGTGTGTTGTGCTAATTGATGATAACATGTCGCTGGAAACTGCACGCAGTTCCATTTGACATTGAGATTGTTTGCTCTATAAAGTACTGACTGCGATACCAAAATTTCCATTCAAGCTAGATTACCATGCTATTGACAGACACTGCGATGCGAGCTGGCGGGCTGGCGCGCTGGATAAAAGTCTCTCCGTCTGTCGTCAAAATGTAGCACACTAATGGACATTTGGGAAATCCCATAAGACATATGGGCTGGAATGTTCACACCGTGCTGCAATGTTTTCCCACGTTAACACCTGCATTGTTTTGAATTCATCCATTCGTGCATTTCATTTCCAGAGAAAGAAAAGTTGGGTGGCTTTGCAAACAAGGTAAACAGCTGAGAGGATATAATATCAATGTAACTGTACCATGTATCGAACGCATGACTATACGGTACCTCGAGATTGTCTGGCTGTTTGTCCCTTGAAGCTCTCAAGACTTGCTGAGCTTTACCATGGAGGGAACATACCAAAAATTCCGCATGATGATCCTGGCTCCACAAAGAGCTGCTTCACACTTGGCACACCATCACCAATACATCGCCTCATTTCCTCGTTTCTGTCTTCTAGACCTGCAAGTACCTTCAGATTGCGGATTCGAAATACATGATTCACAGAGGAGTACCGACAGGCCAGCTTCAGCAATCTTATCTCTGTGCTTCGCGGCAGTTGCTATAACGTCGGTACAAGCGCTCAAAATTTTCAGCACTATTGACCAGTATCCGCTCCCTCGGTCGTTATCAGAATTCTCAAAGTTTACAAAGTGTTAATCATTTCAGCACCGGTTGACGACGTAACCTTTGCATATTGTAAGATTTTATCTCGTATTCGTGTTCGTTCCTGTCGATTGCTTCGGATCGCAGATGGATTTCTTCAAAGCACGCACCGAATCCGTGTGAATCCGCGTGAATCCGTGTGAATCCGTGTGAACTTCAATGATGACTCCGGGTTGTCATTCGCAGGCGGGTGGCCAGGACGCCGTCAGTATTTGCAGCCATGTGCACCGTTGATAAGATGCTGATCAAGGGTATCCGGAGCTTCAGCCCGGAGAATCAAGCAGTAATCACGTTTTTCAAGCCGCTCACGCTCATCGTCGGCCCCAATGGAGCCGGGAAAACCGTAAGGGGGTTGTTTTTTTCATCATTGGCTGATCAAAATTGCACGTTTGACTTATGTTCAGGCTGAATGATTTTTACCGCGCTGCACGTTTTTCGGCGCACGCCCTTTCATTGTCCTAAATTCAGCCCTTTTTTTTCATTCCAGTCGTATAATATCCGATTTCTCCACGTAATCTATCTGCTTGTTTCTGAAATCATGCAGACCATTATAGAGTGCTTGAAATGCGCGACCACGGGAGAGCTCCCGCCCAACGCTCGTTCTGGTCACTCCTTCATCCACGACCCCAAGGTCGGTCGTTCTGGTTTTTAGATGTCTTGAAACTTCATCCATGGCCCCAAGGTCGATCGTTCTGGTTTTTAGATGTCTTGAAACTTCATCCATGGCCCCAAGGTCGGTCGTTCTGCAGAGGACGGTCAATCAGAAACGCCTCATAGAATAGTGGAGCTGATTGTCATTTCATGCTTTTAGTGACTCCCAGCAAGTTTCAGTCCTGCTACATTCGGCCACCTGTCAGTTATGGTGCATTCATTCATCTGTTAGCCATGGTACATTCAGATACCTCTTAGTCATGGATTCAGAGATCTCTTAGTCATGGATTCAGAAATCTCTTAGTCATGGGTTCAGACATCTCTTAGTCATGGGTTCAGACATCTCTTAGTCATGGGTCCAGACATCTCTTAGTCATGGGTTCAGACATCTCTTAGCCATGGATTCAGAATTCTCTTAGTCGTGGATTCAGCCGTCTCTTAGTCATGGATTCAGAATTTTCTTAGTCGTGGATTCAGACATCTAGTAGTCATGGTGCATTTGGGCATACGGACCCTTCTTAGTCATGGTGCATACGGACTAAGTTTTGCATAGGGTCATGGGACATATGGACCTCCTTAGTCACGGTGCATTTGGGCATTTGTCGGTCATGGTGCGTCTAGAAATCTGCCAGTCATGGAACAGTCAGACAACTGTCAGTCGTGATACCCTCAATGATCTGTCAGTATGGTGCATTCAACGGTCCACAGGGTTCCAGGCATGTGTCAGTCACGGTGTTGGCAACACACGTCACCAAGCAAGGACATGGTGAGGATGCGCAAATACTCGCTCACACTTCTGTCTGTGTATTCTCGCGCTGCTCTGACAGACTGGTAGCGCATGTGACAGAGACCAAGGGGCAGAATAAGCAGCAGCACCGCATAGCAGCAGGCAAGGACGAGGCAAGGCGAGCATACGCTGTCATCCGTTCACACTTATGTCAATGTATGTAATCCCGTGCTGCTGCTGGCAGGTGGCACATATAACGGAGACCAAGGGGCAGATCAAGCTGCGGTTCCGCACCGCAGCAGGCAAGGACGTGGTGAGCGTACGCAACTTCTCACTCACGCAGAAGACCAGCAAGATGGAGTTCAAGGCCATTGAGAGCGTGCTGCAGACCATCAACAGTACTACGGGCGAGGTGTGTAGTGACAGCAGCAGGGATTTATGCATCAGGAGCGTGTGTGTCTCTGACATCTTCTCCATCTCCCCTCCGAACTCCCACAAACCTCCCACACACCTCTCTCTCCACGCCGTCCCAGGTTTCCTCCACTCCCGTCCCTTCCGCTCCCTCTCCTCCTTCCAGCGTGTGTGCCTCTGAGCTACCGTTGTGCGGACATGGATGGGGAGGTCTTGCCGCTGATGGGCTGCCAGTGAGCCCACTCACATGCAAGCCACACCCTGCCCTCCCCCCTTCCCCCCCTCTCCCTCCCCCCAGCGCGTCTAAGCTACCGCTGTGCGGACATGGATAGGGAGATCCCGCTGCTGATGGGCTGCCAGTGAGCCCACTCACATGCAAGCCACACCCTGCCCTCCCCCCTTCCCCCACCCCCTCCCCCCAGCGTGTGTCTCTGAGCTACCGCTGTGCGGACATGGACCGCGAGATCCCGCTGCTGATGGGCGTGCCCAAGGCGGTGCTGGAGAATGTGATCTTCGTGCACCAGGACGACGCCAACTGGCCCCTTGCTGAACCCGCGCTGCTTAAGAAGAAGTTTGACGACATTTTCTCAGCCACCAAGTAGGTCTCGGTTTCCAGTGATGTGTATGGCATGATGAGTGAGCGAGGGTAGGTAGGCCCAATGCCCTTCGTGCACCAGGACGACTGGCCCAATCACCAACTGGCCCTTGCTGAGCCCGCACTGCTTAAGAAGAAGCTCGACGACATCTTCTCTGCTACTAAGTAGGTTGGCAGTGATGTGAATTGCATGTGGTGTGAGTGTCGGTAGGTAGGCTCTTCGTTCACCAGGACGATGCCAACTAGCCTTTCGCTGAGCCCGCCCTGCTCAAGAAGAAGTTTGATGATATCTTCTCTGCTACTAAGTAGGTTTTTGGGTGATGTGGCTGACCGACCCTGCAAACGCAGGTTTGCAGCAAAGCAACTGCTTGCTGAGCTTGCCCTGCTTAACAAGAAGTTTGATGGTTTCTTTCTGTGATGTGTCTCAGGTACACTAAGGCGCTGGAGGCACTGAAGAAGGTACACAAGGAGCAGGCGCAGCTTATAAAGGAGATGAAGCTCAAGGCGGAGAACCTCAGGAACATACTCGACACGTCCTTGCGGGTACGTGGTATTTGAAGCACATTTAAGACCGTTTGAGTGTGAAGGGCAACGAATCCCTTTACCTTTTCCTTCGTCTCTTTGATTTAGGATGGAGATGATTTAGTCACGCTGCGTCTACTGTCAAGCCTCCACCTCCTTCAACATCTCTGGAATCTCTTCGTCTCTCCTCTTTTCCTGCAAGCAGCTACAGGAGGGCATAAAGGCAGACTCAGGCCAGTCAGAGCGCCTGGTAGCGCAGATTGAGAGGCTGGAGGGGCAGATTGCGGAGCGGAGGGTGCGGCAGGACGAGGTGGAGAGCGGTCTGGCGCGGTTGAGACAGCTGAAGGCGGACTTGCAGACGCAGGAGGGGCGGCTGGAGCTGCTGTCCCGGCAGAAGGTGCAGCAACGCACCAACATAGTGTCAGACAACCAAGGTAAGTGACCAATCTGAGTCGCTTTTGAGAATTCTCAAAAGTATCTGACAACCAGGGTAAGTGACCAATCTGTATAGGAAGAGAGTGTTCGTGACCTGAAGCCCTTAGGCTCTCACGCCCTCAGGCCCTCACGTCCACATGCCCTCACGCTCTCAGGCTCTCACGTCCACATGCCCTCACGTCCTCAGGCCCTCATGCCCTCATGCCCTCACGCCCTCACGCCCTCAGGCCCTCACGCCCACATGCCCTCACGCCCTCAGGCCCTCACGCCCACATGCCCTCACGTCCTTAATCCCTCACCTGCATCTCTTCTGTCCCGAGCAGAGTCAGACGAGAAGTTGGAGGAGTGGCGGCGGGAGTTTGAGGGCGTGGTGGCCAAGCTGGAGGGCAGCCTGGCGCGCACCACACGGGAGCTGAGCGAGCTGAGGATTCAGCAGGAGGCGGAGAGGGAGAGCAGCGAGAGGGACAAGCAGCTGGTCAGCCGGTTGCAAGTGGAGAAAGAGGTGCGCGCCTGCTTGCGTGCCGTGTTCTGCTTGTTGTGCCTTTTTTTGAAGCGCCTCTAAAATTGTCTCAAAACAAAGCGTCTCAAACCATGGTCCAACTGTCTTCCCCCCCCCAGGTGCACGAGAGGGACTGCAACGAGAGGGACAGGTGCCTGCAGCAGCTCTTCTCCAATCACGACCTGGGAGACAGAGGCCACGTGCCCCTGGCGAACAACCTGGCCAAGGTCTGAAATGCCTCAAAACTTGTTCCAAAACCCAATCTTGCCCCTCTTCGACCATCCCCCACCTCCACCCCCCCCAGGTGCACGAGCGGGACTGCAACGAGCGTGACAGGTGCCTGCAGGAGCTGTTTACCAAGCACGACCTGGGAGACATAGGCCCCGTGCCCCTGGCAAGCAATCAAGCAGTGGAGCTGGCAATGCGCGCAACTAGCAGGTTGACACAGCTGCAGGAGCAGTGGGATGAGATGAAGCGGGGGCAGCAGGAGGAGGAGCGGCGGCGGGGGGCGGAGATTGAGGCTGCTGGGGGGGAGATTGTGAAGGCGGAGGGGCAGCTGCATTTGGCGCAGGAGAGAAAGGTGGGGCAGAGGGGAGTTTGGGAGAGGGTGAGAGAGATAGAGGCTTGGATTCTGGCTTCGAGATTTGCAAAGTGTTCAATGTCCCGGTTCATGTTTACAGCCTTACCAGTCATGAGCTGTGCGTGTACTTTCTGTGCGCCTACATATGATATGGGTGGTGGTTGCTGGTTGTGATGCGTGCGTGTGTGTGTGTGCCATGGGCAGAGGAGTAGCGAGGCGAGGAGGCAGCAGGTGAAGGAGGCGATGGACAGCAGCAGTGTTGATGAGGAGTGCATGGCCCGGCTGGAGCGAGAAGAGAAGAAAGCGGTAAGCTCTCAGTCTTCTACCCAGCTTTAGGCGTCTGTCTTCTACCCAAGACGGATCTGAGCCGACAGGAGCAGCAGCGAGCGACTAGTCAACTCACGGTGACCGTGTGTTGCCACTCTACTCCCATCCCATGCAGAAAGCTGAGGCGGACAGACTCGCAACCAAGCTACGAGACCCCACACTGCTGTCCAAGCTGGAGGATGCCAAAACGGACCTGAGCCGGCAGGAGCAGCGGCTCAAGGCCCTTCAGCGGGAGAAGGACAGCCTGGCGGCGGAGAGCAGCGAGAGGGTGACGCTGAGGCTGAAGCAGGAGGCGGTCAGGGAGAAGGAGGCTCAGCTGAAGAAGCTGTGAGTTGTTCTTGGCGTGATTCGGCTTGCGTTACCTGTTTTTTGTATAACATTGTCTGCATAGCTCGTTTGGCGCTCCTCGCTCTCTCTCTTTGTTCCCCATCCTCATGCTCCCCCGCTGCCCCCACCCCCCCCCCCCACCAGCCCTCCCCACCCCTCCCTCCCACCCCGATTTCTCTCTGCTCCCATCTCTCCTTCGTCCTCCGTTCCTGCTTTCCTCCCTCACGTCTCCCGTTCCTCTCACCACGACCCCTATCCATGTCGCCCTCCCTCCAGTCTTCATTTCCACTCGATCTGACCTTGTTCTCTTGTTTGCCTTCTTGTTCGCCTGTCAGTCACCCCCCGCCCCCTCCACATTCGTCTATCCGCCCTTTGTCTGCAAGGCCAGACTGGCGGAGAACAAGGGGCGGATAGAGGAGGTGCTGGGCGGAGAGATGCCTTCAGACACAAGCAAGCTGGTCCGGGAGGTTGAGAAGGTGATCAGGTGCGTGGGGTGCAGGGGAGGGGGTGTTGAGTCCCAGGGGAGGGGGTGTGGGGTGAAAGGGGAGGGGGTGTGGGGTGCAAGGGCAGGGGCGGGGGGCAAGGGGAGAGGTGTGGGGTGTGGGGTGTGGCGGACGGGGAGGGGTGTGGGGCGCAAGAGGAGGGTTGGGGCGCAAGAGGAGGGGAAGAGGTTCATGCTGCTGTGTAGGGATTCGGGCTTATGACGTATAGTTTGCGTGCTGGAGACCTAACGAGTGAGTGAGGGTCTGACCTCCCTTCCCCTGGTGCTCCCTCATAACCAACCAACCCCTCTTTAACCCCCTCTCCCCTTTCTCCTATTTTCTCTTCCTCCACCTCAACCCACCCCCCCCCCCTCCCCCCCTCTTCCTCTCCGGTTGACCTCTGCAAATGTGTACGTGTATGCATTCAGGGCACAGCGAGTGCTGTATGAGTTTTTGAGACGTCTCAAAAACTCAACCCACCCCCCCCTCCCCCCTCTTCCTCTCCCGTCGACCTCTGCAAATGTGTGCGTGAATGCAGGGCACAGCGAGTGGTGTATGAGGAGGCAGATGTGAAGGCCAAGGAGGCAGGGAACGAGGCAGCAGTGCAGCAGCAGCGGCTGGACCATGCTCGGAGCGAACTCAACAAATACAGCAACGAGATGGATAGTGAGTGGTTCAGTGCGGTGCAGCACGGTGTGATGTGGTCTGGTGAGCTTAGGAACAGCAGCAGTGTGGTGGGGTGTGGTTTGAAGTGAATCAATCAATCTCCCCTTTATCATATGTGTGCGTTTGTCTTATCCGCAATAATGTTCATCCCTTCCCATAACCTCCCATCTTCTCCCCATCCCTCTCCATCGTTTCCCATCGCCTCCTACCCCTCTTCCCCCTTGATCCCCCCCCAGCCAAGCGGGTGCTGATCCAGACGCGTCTGAGCAAGGCAGTGGATCCTTCTCTTGCAGTGGACGATTTGGACAGAGTACGAGGAGAGAAGAGGACAGCACTGGAGGAAGCTATCGGGTGCGTGAGTGCATGCGTGCGTGAATGCTTGCTTGCGTGTGTGCATTGTCCGGTTGCATGGATGATGTGGCTGGGATTCATCTTTTGCAGTCGGAAATTTGGACATGGTACGAGGAGAGTGCGTGTGCGCGTGAGTGCGTGCGTGCATGGGTGCTTTGCTTTGTTGGATTGGTCATGAGTTTGTGTGCATTCATGGATTCTTGGAGCAAGCTTGCGAACCACCACTCTCGTCCACACTCCATGATCATCCGTTACACCCCTTCATACCCCTTCATACCCCTCCACTCCACACCCTGCCATGTACTCCTTGCACATCTGGCTCCCCTCATTCCCAGGACATACGAGAAGTTTGTGGCGATGAAGCAGTTTGTAGGGCGGAGTACACCCCGTTACACCCTTCCACACCACTCTACATTCTCCTTGCACTCCTGGCTCCCCCCCCTCTCAGGACGTACGAAAAGTTTGTGGCAATGAAGCAGTTTGTGGGGCGGTTTGTGCAAGACGCCCAGCGCAAGCACTGCTGCCCGACTTGTGAAAGAAGTTTTTCCCCGGCGGAGGAGGAAAAGTTTGTGGAAAAAGTAAAGGCCACGAACAGAGACGCTGGAAACAAGGAGGTGGTGCTGAAACGGGAAAAAGAGGGTCTTGTGCAGCAGCTGGGGATTCTGGATGACCTGCATCCTGTTTATAACGAGTACAGGAAGCTGGTGGATGAGCTGGTGCCACGTGCCAGGGTGGTAGTGGGCCACGTGGAGGAAGCCCAGAGCAAGGCACAGGAGAACCATGAGAATGTGAGTGACCACCTCGCACCCTCATTGAGTCGCATTCTGTGTGTGTTCCTTCCCTATAATACACCCACCCATCTGATGTGTGCCTTAATCATGGCCATGTGGTCCTCTCCTGTCATTACCATCTCTCACTGTCTCTACTTGACACTTTCTTGTATTTTCTTCCCCCTCTTCCCAACCCCCACTCCTTCCCTCCCCCACTCCCCCCATTTCCCTCCCATCCCGCTCCGTTCCTCTCCAGCTGCTGTGCTCGCTGGCAGAAGCCAAGGCGAAGCTAGACGCGGCGGGGCGGGTGGAGGGGGTGGTAAAGGAGGCGGAGAGGGTGAGGAAGGAGGCGGAGAACGGGGAAGCAGAGGTGCAGGAGCTGGAATACCGCCTTGACACGCTCTCCCAGGCCATGCGCTCCCTGGCGGATGTCAATGCTGATCTGGCTGCTGTGGAGGGGAAGAGGTGAGCTGGCTGTTCGTGCAGGGGAGAAGTGAGAGAGGGGAAACAGGGTTTAGGGTTGAGGGAGGGATGAGGGGTATGGAAAAGGAAGCTTGTGTTCAAATGCTTCTCATTTACATGCTCAAGTGTTTTTTTTTTTTGTTTTTTTTCCCTTGCCCCTTGTCACGCTCCCTCGGTTCTGTGCCTATGGTGTGCTGTACTGCAGAGATGCAGCAGCAGGGGATGTGGAGAGGCTGAGGGAGGAGCATGCAGCGTTGAAGGACGAGGCAGCAGCAGCCAGCAACAGGTGGCGGGGGGCGCGGGAGGAGAGGGCCCAGATGGCGCTGAGAGTGGCGAGGCGGCGGGAGATGGAGGAGGAGGTGGGGCAGCTGGAGGTGGCGATCGAAGGGAGCAAGCTGGAAATACAGGTGAGCGCTGCTTTGCATCCAGTATCAGGCACTTGAGCGCAACGTAGCATAGGGCCACCGAGGAAGAAGCACGGGGAGGCAGTGGAGGGGCGGAGGGTGGATGTGGAGGCAGAGGGCGGAACTGTGTGATTTCATTTCTGTTGATTTAAACCCCCTCTTTCTGCCCTCTTTTCCCATCTCCCCTGCACCCCTCTCATCATCATCAGGCATTGGAGCGCAGCATGGGCCCTCTGAGGAAGAAGCATGGGGATGCGATGGAGGAGAGGAGGGCGTGGAGGGAGCAGGCAGGGGCGGAGGAGGCGGAGATGCAGGGGCGGGTGAGAGGCTTGGAGAGGGATCTGGATGGGTCTAGAGGGATCTTCGGCAAGATCAACGAGTGAGTGATGAGGCGTCTGAGTGTCTCAGAACAAGAGCAGATTTTTTATGTGTTCCAAGAGGAGATGTAGGGGCGGGTGAGGGGCATGGAGAGGGGTCTGGATGGGACGAGAGGGATATTTGCCAAAATCAATGAGTTGCCCATTTCATTTCTCTTCGCCCCTCATCCCACCAGCTATGTTGCCTCCAACAGTAAGGTTCCCTCTTGGTACTCTTGGGAATTCTCGCCCTCCTCCCTTCTCCTCCCATCCCCTCCCCTCCCGTCCCATTTACTCATCTCCTCCCATCCCCTCCCATCCTTTCTCCTCCCTCCACTCCCCTCTCCTCGCCCCACCAACTACATCGCATCAATAGCAACGTCTAAGGGGCAGGCGCCTCTCCTCTAATCCGCCCTCCGCCCTCCGCCCTCCGCTCTGCGCCCTCTTCCCTCCGCCCTCCACCCTCCGCCCTCCACCCTCCACCCTCCGCCCCCTCTTCCCTCCGCCCCCTCTTCCCTCCGCCCCCTCTTCCCTCCGCCCTCCGCCCTCCGCCCACCGCCCTCCGCCCTCCACCCTCCTCCCTCCGCCCTCTCCGTCCTTCGCCCTCCGCCCAGCGCCCACCACACACCGCCCTCCGCCTTCTCCGCCCTCCTCCCTCCGCCTTCCGCCCTCTCCACCCTCCGCCCTCCACCCTCCGCCCTCCACACTCCTTCCTCCGCCCTTCGCCCTCCTTCCTCCGCCCTCCGCCTCCCGTCCTCCGCTCTCCACCCTCTATGCCCTCCTCCATCCGCCCTCCGCCCTCCGCCCTCACCTCCCTCCGCCCTCTCCGCCTCCGCACTCCTCCCTCTACGCCCTCCGCCCTCCTCCCTCCACCCTCCGCCCACCGCCCTCCGCCCTCCGCCCTCTCCGCCCTCCTCCCTCCGTACTCCGCCCTCCGCCCTACACCCTCCGCCCTCTCCGCCCTCCTCCCTCTGCCCCACCCTCTCCGCCCTCAGCCCGCCCTCCGGCCTCTCCGCCCTCTACGCCCTCCGCCCTCTCCTCTAAGAGGCGCCTCTCCTCTAAGAGGCTGGCGCCTCTCATCTATGAGGCAGGCGCCTCTCCTAGAGCAGCGGCGCCTCTCCCTCACAACCCCCAGAGCAGCGGCGCCTCTCCCTCACAACCCCCAGAGCAGTGGCGCCTCGCCCTCACAACCCCCCAGAGCAGTGGCGCCTCGCCCTCACAGCCCCCGAGAGCAGCGGCACCTCTCCCACACAACCCCCAGGGCAGCGGCGCCTCTCCCTCACAACCCCCAGAGCAGTGGCGCCTCTCCCTCACAACCCCCAGAGCAGTGGCGCCTCTCCCTCACAACCCCCAGAGCAGTGGCGCCTCTCCCTCACAACCCCCTGGAGCAGCGGCACCTCTCCCTCACAAACCCCCAGAGCAGCGGCGCCTCTCCCTCACAATCCCCAGAGCAGTGGCGCCTCTCCCTCACAACCCCCAGGGCAGCGGCGCCTCTCCCTCACAACCCTCCAGAGCAGCGGCGCCTCTCCCTCACAACCCCCAGAGCAGCGGCGCCTCTCCCTCACAACCCCCCAGAGCAGCAGCGCCTCTCCCTCACAACCCCCAGAGCAGTGGCGCCTCTCCCTCACAACACCCAGAGCAGCGGCGCCTCTCCCTCACAACCCCCCAGAGCAGCGGCGCCTCTCCCTCACAACCCCCAGAGCAGTGGCGCCTCTCCCTCACAACCCCCAGAGCAGCGGCGCCTCTCCCTCACAACCCCCCAGAGCAGTGGCGCCTCTCCCTCACAACCCTCCAGAGCAGTGGCGCCTCTCCCTCACAACCCCCAGAGCAGTGGCGCCTCTCCCTCACAACCCCCCAGAGCAGTGGCGCCTCTCCCTCACAACCCTCCAGAGCAGCAGCGCCTCTCCCTCACAACCCCCAGAGCAGTGGCGCCTCTCCCTCACAACCCCCAGAGCAGCGGCGCCTCTCCCTCACAACCCTCCAGAGCAGTGGCGCCTCTCCCTCACAACCCCCAGAGCAGCGGCGCCTCTCCCTCACAACCCCCCAGAGCAGCGGCGCCTCTCCCTCACAACCCCCCAGAGCAGTGGCGCCTCTCCCTCACAACCCCCAGAGCAGCGGCGCCTCTCCCTCACAACCCCCAGAGCAGTGGCGCCTCTCCCTCACAACCCCCAGAGCAGTGGCGCCTCTCCCTCACAACCCTCCAGAGCAGCGGCGCCTCTCCCTCACAACCCCCAGAGCATTGGCGCCTCTCCCTCACAACCCCCAGAGCAGCGGCGCCTCTCCCTCACAACCCCCCAGAGCAGCGGCGCCTCTCCCTCACAACCCCCCAGAGCAGTGGCGCCTCTCCCTCACAACCCCCAGAGCAGCGGCTCCTCTCCCTCACAACCCCCAGAGCAGTGGCGCCTCTCCCTCACAACCCTCCAGAGCAGTGGCGCCTCTCCCTCACAACCCCCAGAGCAGCGGCGCCTCTCCCTCACAACCCCCCAGAGCAGTGGCGCCTCTCCCTCACAACCCTCCAGAGCAGCGGCGCCTCTCCCTCACAACCCCCAGAGCAGTGGCGCCTCTCCCTCACAACCCCCAGAGCAGCGGCGCCTCTCCCTCACAACCCTCCAGAGCAGTGGCGCCTCTCCCTCACAACCCCCAGAGCAGCGGCGCCTCTCCCTCACAACCCCCCAGAGCAGCGGCGCCTCTCCCTCACAACCCCCCAGAGCAGTGGCGCCTCTCCCTCACAACCCCCAGAGCAGCGGCGCCTCTCCCTCACAACCCCCAGAGCAGTGGCGCCTCGCCTCACAACCCCCCAGAGCAGCTGCGCCTCTCCCTCACAACCCCCAGAGCAGCGGCGCCTCTCCCTCACAACCCCCAGAGCAGTGGCGCCTCGCCTCACAACCCCCCAGAGCAGCTGCGCCTCTCCTCTAGGAGGCAGTCGAACCCCACTTGGACCCCCACCCCTCCCCTCTTCTCGCTCCCCTCGCCCCCCCCTTTCCTCCGCTCTGTCCCTTCTCCTCTCATCTCCTCTCCTCTCCCCACTAGCTACATTTCCTTGAACAAGGAGCAGCGGCTGGCGGAAGCATCGAAGCGGCTGCAGCAGCATTCGAATCACTCTTGAGAGCACTCAAAAATGCCTCTTTATCCCATCTCCCTTCTCCTCCTCCCGATCCCACCAGCTGCATCGCCTCCAACAAGGAGCAGCGGCTGGTGGAAGCATGGAATGGAAGCGGCTGCAGCAGTCGCAGGCAAGGCAAGCGGGGAACGAACAGCGGATAGAGCAGCTGAGCGCGAAGGGGGCGAAGGAGAGGGAGATGCTGCTCAACCGGAATGTTTTCGGGTCTCTCTCGAGGCTTTTCAAAGGTCCCCTCTTCTCCCTCCCACTGTCCCCTCGCCTCCTCCGCTCCCCTCCCTTCCCTTCCTCTGCTCCTCTCCACTTCCCTCCCCTCCCCATCCCCCCTTACCCCACCAGCTACATCGTCTCGAACAAGGAGCAACGTCTGGCAGAAGCATCGAAGCGGCTGCAGCAGTCGCAAGCACGGCAGGCGAGCAACGAGCAGCAGATAGAGCAGCTGAGCAGGACGGAGGCGGAGGAGAGGGAGATGCTGCGCAGCCAGGATGCTGTGAAGCGGAACGTGGAGGCGATTCTGGTGTTCCGGGGGATGGAGAGGGAGGAGGAGGGGGTGAGGAGCGAGGTGGAGAGGCTCAGGGAGGAGATGGGGCGAGTGGGGAGGGTGGGGGAGTTGGAGGAGGAGGTGAGGGCCTTGAGGGAGGAGATTGATGGGCTTGCTGCTGAGGTGAGCAGCTCTCAACAGTTTTTGCCTCCAAGTCCTCACCGATTCTCACCTCGATCATCTCTCCTCTCACCAATTTCCTCCGCTCACTCCTCTCTCACCTCACATACCCTATTTTCACCACTTTCCACCACTCCTCACACCGCAATACCCTCACTCACCTCGCTCTCTCTCGTCTGGGTCTTTCCTCCTCACAGCAAAACCACAGTCGGGGCAAGGTGGCCGCGCATGAGGCCAGCATTCGGCGTGCCCAAACAGAGCTGAAAGCGCCGCAGTTCAGAGACATTGATAGCCGGCACAGGAAGCAGCTCATACAGCTCAAGGTGAGAAAAAATATATGTATGTATTAAGAAAAACATTCTTGTTACCAAACCAAGCTGAAGGCCCCACAGTTCAGAGACATTGATAGCCGGTACAGGAAGCAGCTCATGTAGCTCAAGGTGAGAGTTCTGAAAATACCAACAGTGCTAGCTAAGACTTCTGAAAATGCCAACAATGTTAGCTAAGAGTTTTGAAAACGCCAACAATGTTAGCTTCTAAGCAGCAGTGAAGGCACCGCAGTTTAGCGACATTGATAGCCGGCACAAGAAGCAGCTTATCCAGCTCAAGTTAAGACTTTTGATATGATGTTGAAGGAAGAGAAGAAACCTTCCAAGCAGAGCTGAAGGCGCCCCGGTTCAGAGACATTGATAGCCGGCACAAGAAGCAGGTCGTTCAGCTCAGGGTGAGTCTCGTGACAGGCAGTTAAGGTTGCCCAGGTGAGGTTGCCCAGGTGAGGTTGCCCAGGTGAGGTTGCCCAGGTGCCCAGGTGAGGTTGCCGCAGTCGAGAGGTTGCCACCGTTGAGAGGCATTGAGAAGAGGTGCTGGAAGTATCTCATCCAGCTGAAGCTGAGAATGCAAGCTTTGGATTCACAAAAAGTGACTTATGACTCGTTCGTCCGTCTCATTGCCCTCCTTACTCACCCTTCTGCCAACCGTTTTTGGTTACATAATCCCTCCCTGCCTCTCCCCCGCTTGCTGTTGTCTGATTATGCCCTGCACTTTTCCAGACCACAGAGATGGCTAACCGCGACATTGACAAATACTACAATGCGTTGGACAAGTAAGTGGCGAGCCTATGTCTTGAAGCTTTCCATGTTTTTGTCGACTCAAGGGTGGCCTTGGACCTTTCGAGCATCTACTTTCTTACACCACCGCCATGGGCATACCCCAATATGTATTTTTCAGGGCAATATGGTATTGTGGCAAAAGTTCCTATAACTGGATGTTTTCAGGGCATTGAGCTGTTCTTTTCTGTATGACAATTTGCTTGGTGACATTTCCAGGGCTTTAATGCGGTTCCATGCGATGAAGATGGAAGAGATCAACAAGATCATCAAGGAGCTGTGGCAGCAGACGTACCGAGGCCAGGACATTGACTACGTTGAGATTCGCTCCGACGCGGAAGGAGCGGGGACAAGGTCTTACTCCTACCGAGTGAGCAAAGTTCACGGCTTAGTCTTGCAAAAGATGGGGTAAACATAACTCGTCCGAGCCCAGGACATTGACTATGTTGAGATTCGCTCCGACGCGGAAGGAGCGGGCACACGGTCTTACTCCTACCGGGTGAGCAAAGTTCACGGCTTAGTCTTGCAAAAGATGGGGTAAACATAGCTCGTCCGGGCCCAGGACATTGACTACGTTGAGATTCGCTCCGACGCAGAAGGAGCAGGGACAAGGTCTTACTCCTACCGGGTGAGCAAAGTTCACGGCTTAGTCTTGCAAAAGATGGGGTGAACATAGCTCGTCCGAGCCCAGGACATTGACTACGTTGAGATTCGCTCCGATGCAGAAGGAGCGGGCACACGGTCTTTACTCCTACAGGGTAAGGAATGTTCACGGCTTATTCTTGCAAAAGATGGGGTAGGCATAGCGCGTCCGAGGCCAGGACATTGACTATGTTGAGATTCGCTCCGATGCAGAAGGAGCGGGCACACGGTCTTACTCCTACAGGGTAAGGGAAGTCCACGGCTTCATCCTACGAAATATTGGGGTAATCACAGCTTTTTGGACGACTGGGCGTGTGATATGCACAGCATTTTCTGCTACCATGTTATTCAGGAAAGCATCCTTAACATTGGTTGGTTTGTCTGATGTTGATGATGGTCAACTAACTGTCTAATGTGTCTGTGTTGTGGGTTGTTGTGGGGCGGATGTGGAGGAGTGGGTGTTATGTGTGTGTATGGAGATCTGGCAGGTGGTGATGCGCAGTGGTGATGCTGAGCTTGACATGCGGGGACGGTGCAGTGCCGGCCAAAAGGTACAGTACTGAAGGGTATTCTCTGCTTACAGTATCCACAAATAGTTTCTCCTTGACGCCATCATCCGTTCCCCTCCAAACTTGTATATATCTGTTTGTCGACATCCGCCATTCATATCCTCATGATGCCTACTGTCCCTCATGTTCGTTCACCCTTGCTCTTGTCCGTGCACTCTGTGGTCTGTCCTTTCTTTGGCTATCAGGTGCTGGCTTCTCTCATCATCCGCCTTGCTCTGGCTGAGACCTTTTGTCTCAACTGCGGCATTCTCGCTTTGGATGAGCCGACCACCAACCTTGACGCTCCCAATGCTGAGAGCCTTGCGAGGGCCTTGAACAGGTCAGCTCACTGACTCACTGTCTCTCGGTTGTGTTCACCTCGTTTTTGTTTCCTCTGATCAACTCAGCTCATTTTGTTGATGCTCTTTCCGTGTTTGTGTTTATGTGCAGACTAATGGAAGAGAGAAGAAGCCAGGAGAACTTTCAGTTAATTGTCATCACTCACGATGAGACTTTCGCAGAAATGATTGGGCGAAAGGAGCATGCAGACCACTACTACCGCATCTCAAAGAATGAAAGGTGAGAAAGAAAGAGGTTGAAAGATTGTACTACATGTGCTGGTAACTAATTTATGATGTTTTTTTTTTTCGAATATGCAGGCAACAGAGTACAATCGCGGTTCAAGACATCTACGATTGATGTGAAGTGATGTTATTCATCTTGTGAATTGTTGTAGGATTTTGTAAAATAGGGGAGGAATGGTGGCCTTGTATATATGAAATGTTTCAGTAGATGTGTCCACAATTTCAATTATTTCCAATCATGAGTGGTACACCTGATGCTCACCTCCTGCACGCGAAATTGCCTTGCACCGGATGGAAACCTTGCACCCGTGGGTTTTGTGCCGTGACGTTGCACCCACGTTACAAGCACGTCGACCAATACGAACCACAGAAACTGAAGTTTGACTGACGAGACCAAAGTCAAACAGTCAGCGTTGAGTTACAATTGTTTTTTATAAGCCCTTTTTGCCCGATGCGAATTGACGAAATCTTCAAGCGAAGCGAGAATCGCTTATAAGCCCAGAGGGTAAGGCGAGGTCGGGGGGCTCAACCGGGCATCGTGTGTACGAGTAAGTCAAACGGGAGCCACTTTATCAGATAAGATGAACAGTTCGTGCGTCAGATTCCCACAGACTGGTGTTGATTTGGATAGGCATTTCACTCTACGTGCCTCGCCACGACCAGAGTGTAATTCGCTGTCGAATGACGTACTGCCACGCGGGATATTTCCAAGATTGCGCATTGGGATACTGTACGAGCTTCGACGGGGGGTAGTCTCACCAGAGCACCTTCCATTTGCAATTCCCGCTTCGAGCCCCCCTACCCAGCCAGCTAGCACAGCAATTCCCAAGTGAGCCCAGCACGGACCAGGGAGCCACGCACCAGGCACGCCCAATTCCCAAGGGAGACACATTGCCCCTTTCCCCCTCTCCCCAGTGCTTCCTGCCTGCCTGCTCACACACTGCTCACTGGTGCTGCTGGTGCTGCTGAGCCTAGCTCTCTCGGGATTCCCTGAGCTAGCCAGGCCAGCCTCCGCCAGGCCCAGGGTCAGGCAGGCTCCCTTCTCCTGAGCCTGGCTCTTGTCCTCAGCTCCCAACCTGGGTTCCATGGCTCTCGAATAACTGCGGTTCGAGACCTGGAGCACCAGTGCCTTTTCTTACGTCTACCATTCCCCACCTAGCCAGCGACAGCTAGTCACGCTGGTTTCTATCAGAGGCTTTCGTCCAGCCTCGATAGTATCTGACTCGACGGTTTTTTTGTTCTGAGAGTCAGTTTGTCCGAGGTCGCATTCCCTGGCCTCTCGCTGCTCCGCGAGCAGTTCATTGCGCTTTTGCGCTTCCAATACACACTAACCATCTTCAACTCCGCACAGTTCGCATCAACCTCAGCGGCATCTGGTGGATAAGGAGTTTGAACGAAATTCTCCTGCTGTCCCAGTCAACATCCACCGCCGCTGCTTAGAACCAGAGTCCACTCACAACCGACTACTTTCATTGAACTCGCTACCGTCATTGGGTGCGAATGCACCCTTGACATGGCCATCACCTGCCGAATAGTTCCAGAATGCGTGAGATAGGAAACTGGAGACAATTTTGGATTCAGGTAAGGGAGCTACAGCGTTGAGCTGCTCGTTTGTCGCTGCTCCCTTCTCTTCACGCCACTTTCTTTCTGCAGCCAACGTTATTGTTCTCGTCGTATCCATGCTTTCTGCCATCAGGTTGGAGGGAATGTGCAGTACTCAACCGCAAACCTTGAGCTGCAAGAGGTCAGCCGATGAAGCGCTTTTACCTGTGATTTCGAGGTCGAGTGACAAGGCAGAAACTCAAACAAGCCCTGTTGAAGGAAACGATGCAGACCAGCGATCGACGGAGATGTGTCCTGATGGAAGCCAGCTTGTCGCACACGACGAGAAACCAGGAGATTGTAAGGCAAGCGTTGAAGAGCCGCATACGAAGGTCAAGGATGAACCTGCTGCGAGCACCGGGAATACTGAACCGTCAAATCGCATGGAAGCTTCTGGACGAAGTGCCGGACCTGAGGACGAGTCGAAAGGCAACCGGACGACTGGGACGGATCAACCGACTGAAGGAGTTGAAGCTTCAGAGGGGGACATGGAAGGAACCAGTGTCAGGACGGCAAAGAAGCCACGACTTGTCTGGACAGCAGAGCTGCACTCGCGTTTTATGAGTGCAGTCAACCATCTGGGGGTCAAGAGTGAGTTTTGATGGCATTGCCTCCTTCCGTAATTTTCGTATTCCAGCCACCTAATGATCCTTATCTTCCTGCAGATGCAGTTCCCACCACGATCTTAAAGCTCATGAATGTCGAAGGCATGACCCGGGAGAACGTGGCGAGTCATTTGCAGGTTCGTGCTCACGTTTTTTTTTTTTTTTGGTAATTTATTTATTTATTTATTCGTATCCTGACCTTGAATGCGTCTGACTTAACGTCAATGTCACATTTTTCTGTATTTCAGAAATACCGTCTATATTTGAAAAGGATGGCGGGACTTCCGCCAGGAGCTCGACTACCTCCGGATTTCATGGTGTTTCAAGGGCCAAGCCATCACGGAGCATTGCATGCAAACCCTTCAGTCTGTGGCACCGGTCCAATGTACATGCAACCAGGATCGTTCAACGGATCACATCCGACTATGGTTGTGTCCGGAGCTCCAGCTGGATATCCCACGTCAAGTGCAATGTATCCTGGGACCATTGCCATGCGCCCGGCAACAACTATGACCAGCGGTTCCCCCATCCAACAAGTAATGCATCAATCAGTTCCGTTCTTGCGCTTTTTGATGTGTATTACCTCCTATGACTTCTGACCATTTTGTTGATCTTTTTTTTCCTCCAGGCATCGTGTCTGCCACGAATGGTTATGACAACTGCGTCACCTTCAGGCATGCGTACAATGATCGCCGGATCACCACATTTCGCATCTTACTCGCCTGGTACATCTCCACCAACGCATCGACCTCACTCAATGTCACTCAACTCTCTTCATCCTGGATCAACTGCTGTGGGGGTTCCAGTGTCCTCTGGGCCGGTGGTTCCTGGATACCCTCCTGGATCTGTTCCTGTGGCAACAGGGGCATCTCCACTTCAGCCTCGTCCTCCATCCATGGGCATGCCTCACTCTCCTTATTCCATGGGGGTTTCTCCAGTTCAAGTATCATCCTATCCGCCAGGCTCCTGGGCCCATGTTGCAACAAGCATGGGTTACCGTCCGTCCACAGGGCCTGGTTCAGCAATACCCATTGGTGTTCCTGCTGGCGGCAGTATGGTGGCGGCATCTTCTGGCATGCAGCCAGCATTCGGTCATCAACAAACATCAATGTGGAACCCAATGTCCTCGCATGGGACTGTCATGGGCTCTCCAGCTCCCAGCATGCCGGCTCCTGTGGGCACACTACACCATTCAGTCTCCATGCCGCAGTTACCAATTGCTTCAACAGCTCAAGCTGCTGGTCAAGATGCAAATGGAGGTGGCCAAATGTCTGCTCTGTTGCTTCCTCCTGCACAGGCATTGGGTTTCACAGAGCAGCATTCTTCCTGGCCGCTGGCTGTGACTGGTGCATCTGCCCCATCGGTGACCCTGTCGGACCTTGAAGCATGTCCTTCGGGGCAAGGAAGTCAATTTGCCGATACAACAGTGAGTGGTACAGATGATGAAGGTGGCACTGCTGCTACAACAATCGAACATGAAGATGGAGCGCTTGCTCTTCCGTCACATGATGAAGCTGGTCTTGATCTTGAGCCTACATGGCCTCAGGAATGGGAACAAGAATGGAAAATTTTGGGGTGATAGTGCATGTCAGGATATTTGTGCATATTTTTTGACCTGCAATGCCTGCCGTAAGGCTTCTGTGTTGTGTAACTTGGGAATAGCTCCCATTCCAAAATGTCCTGCTCTGTTCAGTCTAAAGAGAGAATTCAGTGGGGCAAGAATTCCAATTTGTGCAACCGCCACCCCCAACCTCCACACAGTTGTGCTGGAGCGTTGGACCTGAACATTTGGCGAGCAGTCATTTGCTGCTGCTGCCCAGCCTGGCTGTCAAAACCAACTTCCACATTTTCCACATTTGCACCTTACAACAAACCGACTTCCACTCCCATACATTACGGATTTTGTTTTTACCGCTTTCAACCGTTACTCACCAGCGTGAACATTCAAACACGAACTTTGTGACCAGTCGTTGTTGATCCATTTGCGAATGATCAAACTCTCGGGAATGGCTACTAGCCGATGTCAGGCAAGCTTTCACCTCGTTCCACCTAGCCATGATCTTGCTCCCAAGCACTTTACCAAACCCAGTAACGCGCCTCGGTGAGGATTCTTAGAACGACGAGCAAGTCATCGCAAGCTTTCCGAGTTTTTTTTTCAAGAGATTGGCCGATGTGCCTCTCGTCGGTATAAGATTAAAACTAGAACTGCCGTCGAGTTGACCAGGCTATATTCCATCAGACAATGGCCAACTCAGCCATTCTCGCGCGATGCAACGTTCCAACGCTATCAGGCGCTTATGTAGAACGAGCAATCAGCAGAGCAACCGCATCATGGCTACCTTCACGTGACATCAATACATCCCGGGGCTTCTCGTTTCCTCGACATAAAGAGCATTGCTCTCCTATCCCCCTTCACCACGGTAAACCGCTTCAATGTGACAGTGTCGAAGCCGGTCGATCGCGAACTCGAACCGTGACTGCAGCGAGCGCTGCTGCTGCCTCCACTCCTGCATCGGAGCCGAATAAAGGGAACCCTTTTTCAGCTCTGATTGATTTCTTCTCATCCATCTGGGAGGAGTACATCGTCAGCCCGCTCGGAAATTTCGGGTTTGGGAAAAAGAGCATATGGGAAGGAGGCGTTGGGTTGTTTCTCCTGACCGGACTATTCTTAATCGGCCTGACTATCAACTGGATTAAGGGCGTTCAAGTACGGTCGAGCACGACTCGGTACAAAGCAGTGATGGAATTTTCCCAAGCCTGCGGAATCACGGTCGGCACTCCGGTTCGGATCCGAGGCGTGGACGTGGGGAGCGTGGTCGGGGTGAGGCCGAGCCTGGAGCGAATCGACGCTGTCGTGGAAATCCTCGACTCCAACGTCGTCATTCCGCGAAACTCGCTTATCGAAGTCAACCAGACGGGCCTGATCAGCGAAACCCTCATCGACATCACCCCCATGCCTCCCATGCCGGAACCCACAGTAGGACCGTTGGATCCCAAGTGCAGCGAGGAGGGGTTGATTGTGTGCGACAGGGAGCGGATAGAAGGGCAGCAGGGCGTGAGCCTGGACGAGCTGATTGCGAATTGGACCAAGATTGCTAAGGATGTGGACAAGGAGGGAGTTGGGACCATGTTCACTGCTATGGATAAATTCGCTGCTTTGGCTGAAGAAGCAAGACCGCTGCTGGAAAAGGCAAGTTATTGTATCTTGGTTGGGGTTCTATTCATGCAGTTCTCCCCTCCACCTCTTCGATCTTCCAGTCCTTGTATCCACTAGCCCACCCCCCCCTCCGCCTGACATCACCTACTCTTTTTATTAAGGTCATGCAGTGAAGACCTATATGTGCTTCTGCTGCTGTTGCGCTTCCATCTGTGTCACAAAACCTGGTCATACACACAAATTTCCAAACTTTGTAGGAAAAAAAAAAAAAAACAAATTCAAAAAAGGGGTGGAGGGGAAACACAAATATACTTTCCTTAGGTGAGACATCGAGCCCATGCTGCAGGACGTGCGGGAGGTGGACCTGCTGAAGAACCTCGAGGAGATGACTTATGAGTCAACTCAAAAGTCACCATGCGTCCCCCACTCCCCCACACTCCACCCCCACCCCCCACCCCACCCCCTCGGCCTGTGTCAGGTGAACGCGCTGATGACGGACATAGAGCCCATGCTGCAGGACGTGCGCGAGGGCGACCTGCTGAAGAACCTCGAGCAGCTCACCAAGGTGGCCTCTGAAGCCGCCTCCGACCTCAGGTGAGTGCTCAGCTGCTGTGCGGTCCTGCTTGTGCTGTGCTGCATGTGCCGTGTTGTGTGTGCCCCACTGTGTCTGGCGTACCTGCCTGTGCTACATATGCTTGGTTTGGCGAACTCTTGAAGAACCTCGAGCAGCTCACCAAGGTGGCCTCTGAAGCCACCTCCGACCTCAGGTGAGTGCTGGGCTGCGCTGCTTGTGCCGTGCTGAAAGTGTCTGGCTGCAAATGCCTTGTTGCGTGTGCCTGGCTGTGTGTGCCTGGCTAGGTGTGCCTGGCTGGGTGTGCCTGGCTGTGTGTGCCTGCTGTGTGTGCCTGGCTGTGTGTGCCTGCTGTGTGTGCCTGCTGTATATGCCTGTCCGATATGTGCCTTTGCTACATGTGCTTCCCATCTGAGTGGATGAAAGTGAAGATTGGAGAGAGAGGAAGACATCCGTGGGGAAAAAACGGAGCAGTGGCTGGGAGGGAGGCAAATGGAAGTTGATGATAAGAGTTATGGAGCTACAGACAAAGAGAACATCGTCTATAGAACCTTGGAGACTCGACTCCCACTTGCATTCGTCACTCCTCTCTTCCTTTGCATCTCCTCCTCTTATGCAGCCGAGCAGCTGCATTTTGAACCAAGGGCCATGCTGGCTGGATGCTTGCTTGATGCTGCTCTCTGCCGTCCTAACCTCCATCGCTCCATCCACCCCTCTCTCCTGTGCTTCTTCCTCTCCCTGCGCGCCAACCCCCCCGACAGGCAGCTGAACAACGCCTTTCTGTTTGAGGAGAACGCACAGCTGCTGCCAACTTGCAGCTCTTTGTCATCCCAACCCTAAATTGCTCCATTCCATCTACCCTTCCCTTGCGCCTTTCCCCTGCAGGCAGCTGAACAGCTCCATTCTGACCAAGGAGAACACGGAGCTGCTGCGGCCTTGCTGCCTTGGTGCTGCTCTCTGCCAACTCAACCCTTCCTCGCTCTACCCGCCCCTCTTTCCACCCTTTCTCCCCACTACAGGCAGCTGAACAGCTCTATTCTGACCAAGGAGAACACGGAGCTGCTGCGGCAGTCAGTGTCCACACTCACAAAGACGCTCAAACACGTCGAGGTGCGTTGCCTCAGTGGGCTTGCCTGCTCATGTGTGTAACTGTTGGGATTCCAGTCGGCTCAAAAGTCACCTGCTGCGGCAGTCAGTGTCCACACTCACAAAGACGCTCAAACGCGTTGAGGTGCGTTAATCCTGGTGGACTTGGCTGCTTCGGCTGCTCATTCGTGTGACTGCTAATGCACACCTAATGCTATGTCTGTGGAGGTTTCGTGTAATGTGGTGAATGCTTGAGAGTTACCTAATGGACAGATATTTTAGGATAAACACACCTTCACCTCTGTTCGCTCGTTAGTCCCCAGCTCGCCCTCCCTGTCGCTGTCCACACCACTCTCATCACCATATGTGGCTCGTCATGTCCATCTGCCTGCATGCCCTCAACTCCCACCTCCCCTCTCCCTCCCCCTGCCTCCCATGCTATGCTCACCCTGCACATGGCAGGGCATCAGTGCTGACATCAGCAGCCTCACTGGCGACCCGAGCACACGCGACCACCTGAGGCAAATCATTGAGTCGCTCAGTCGCCTTGTGGCTGACTGACCGCCGCAACAGCTCGAGGCTTAAGCAAATCAGCTAGGCTATGTACATGCCTGTGGTGGTGGTTTGTGCATGTGGCCTGGTTGCCGAATTGGGCACCTGTGCGCATGACATAAGCATGTTTTTCAGTACTCAACACAGAAGGTTTTGAGGAGGCTAATATGGAACCACAGGTTTGCATTGCGTACCTTAGTGTACTGTATTTTTCCTCTTCTGGTTATTGTATGGCCACCCGGGCAGTAGGATTGTATGTAAGAGGGCTAACAGACTCAGGAACATGGGAAAGGAATAAAGCAGAGCATTAGTCCTAATGTCTGCCTTATGGAACCTATGTGAATCAAATGAATAGAAGATGTTTACTCTTTGACTGAAATTGTGAAGACGCCGCTAGTCCCTACCATGCAGCGATAACACGAGTGTACGTGTAAGGGAGTTTTAGCAAAGCGGTTTTCAAAATTTACCAAATCCCGCGCCCCCAAGGTCCATCTCCATCCTAGCCAGACCCAGCGAGGGTCAGGAGCCAGGCGATCATCACAGGGGATCGTCCACCCCTGTCGCACATCCTCTGATGGTTTGGACTGTCGCATGATCGTCGCCAGTTACACCTCCCCTGGCTTTAGCTGTCGTCCTTCCGGTAACTTTCTCCACGCCTTGCCCCTGAATGGCCCAAACCATCTCGCTCAGCCGAACGGCCATATCAACCTGACACACGCAGCCGACAATAATTCGTCGCAGACGAGCCGAGTGTTCGTTCTGGCCCTTCTTACATCGCCAAACAACCCCCTGACGAATCGCTCACGACGGGTGCTTGTTTCCCATTGGCCGGCAAACTCAACGACCTTCGAGGAAAGTGTGTTCTGAGCTTGTGAAGATGCGAGGCGCAATGTGCGTTTCGTAAAATTTGCTTCTCAACACGGACGGACATTAGAGAAATGCGGCGCGTGAATGTGTACCTGCTGTGATTTCTGGGGCATCTGCGCACCAGCAGTGTTTTCCCTTTCACCTGGAGTCCCCGAACCCCGTTTCTCTCGCCGTGCCTCCCCCCCCACCCTCGCTAGCTTGAAAGCCCCGCTTCGAATATGCTCCTCGGCTGTCCCCATTTTCTCAGAAGCCTGCATGTACCTCTCGAACCGCTCATAGTGAGCCACACGCTTTCCGGCGGAGGGTGCAACATATAAGAACTGAATTTCCTACTTCGTGAGCAGTTCCACTAATTCTAGTTCGATCACAGACTTTCATCTACCTATCTACCTAATATAAGAGGTCAAGCGACCACTGGCAAAAATCTTCTTTGCCACCACTAAACTCTCCGTAGGCTCCTGCATTCCTCGCACGAGAGGAAAGATGACGAGATGCATACTACTTCTGGCTATAGCTACACTTGTAGCATCATGTAAGTTCGAAGGACTCTGATGGGTTTTCTTTGCTCCTCGTGCAGCTGCGTCATCTTACGGATTCGCCGAAACTAATTGAACTAAACGGGATTTCGTTTGTTTTTTTTCATCCATGAGTCAATTCCTTCCTCTCCCCGGCCAACTCTTCCCACAGGCGTCACAATCAGCGCACAACAAATTCGGTCACCTCCACTACCCACGCGGGTCACCTCACAGCAGTCCCAACAGTACCAGCGGCCGCTACCGCTTAGCCCTTCTCAAAAGCGCGCGCTTTCTCAGCTGCGCCTCCGCGCTCCTCGAGCCGCCAAAATCATTATCAACCGCCTCAAAAGTCGCCAACCCCCCGCTACGGCTGTCGCCCAACAACCGCACGAGTTCGCCAGCTCCCTCCAATCCGCCGCCTCACGAGCCCTTTCCTGGGTCCAATCAAATCCCTCCCTTGACTCCTCCGCGCAACCCTCCACGCAAACCTCAGCGCAACCCGCCTCCGGCCTCTCCGTCCTCTCCCGCTTCTTCTCCGCCTTGCGCCCCGCGGGCCTCTCCGCTGGCACAATCAGCCGCCGTGTGCTGCGCCGACACCCCATCGGGTCGGGCCACCGCCCGCCTGGGAAAGGGCATCATGGGCCGAACGGGGGGCACCACGGTTTGTCCGGCGGGCATCACGGGCCGCACGGCGGGCACCATGGGCCGTACGGCGGGCATCACGGGCCTAATGGCGGGCATCACGGGAAGGCCAAGTGGGAAAAGATGCAGAGGCTCCGTGCTGCGAATGACGGACTGAAGATCGGGTCAACCAAAAGCACGGATGATTTCAGCGGTGCGCTCTCGGGGGATTTCGGCTCAGGGTCCGGGTCGGGTTCGAATTCCGGTTCGGACGTTTCGTCAACTTTCTCTGTCACCCAATTCGGTGCGGATGGCGGCGGCTCGAGCGACGACTCGAAGGCCTTCGCCGCGGCGTTCGAGGCGGCATGCAAGGAGGCGAAATCGTCCGACAAAAAAGCCGGGGTGGTGATTCCTTCGGGAAAGACGTTTCTGGTGAAACCCGTGGTATTCGAGGGCCCGTGCGGGCCGGGTGTGCAATTCATAATCGACGGAACCATCGTGGCGCCGGCCGATCCCGGGCAACACGACAACCCCGGGTCGGGCACGTACGGGGTGCTGAATTTTCGCAGCATCCCTGGTCTGGAGATCGTGGGGGAAGGGCTGGTGGACGGGAACGCGGAGGAGTGGTGGAAGAAGGACCGCGACGAGCGGCCGCAGAACATCGTGATTGTCGAGTGCCACGGAGTGCTGGTTACCGGCATCACTTCCAAGTGAGTTTCGCCGCGCCGCTCTCCCCATCTAATCCATCTTACACGTTTAAATTTCGAATTCGGTTTCTATGGTTTTTCTCGTCCCCTCTTCTTACCGGTTCCTTTCCGCCTCTTTCCCCTCTTCCCCCTCCCCCTTCCGCGCTTCTGATTCGCAATTCAACTCGCCAGGGACCCCGCATTCAAGCATTTGTTCTTCTACGAGAACAACGGCGTGACTGTACGCGGCGTGACTACATTGAGTCCCGAGGAGAGCCCGAACACGGACAGCCTGCATTTGTCGTACGTGCAGGACGCGCTCATCGAGAATTGCGAGTTTTCGGGCGGCGATGACAACGTGGCAATCATCAACGGCACGTCGCGCGTGCTGATTCAAAACATTGTTGGCAACTCCGGGCACGGAATCAGGTGAGAAATTTCTATAACGTGGAAAGCTACACCGCTAAACTGTGGATTTATGAACTCGCAACCAGCGTACAAAAACACGTCGGCAGCAAACACAAAACTTTAAACGCACTGGAAATTTGCATGCGGCTCGCTTTTCCCCCCCCAAAAAAAAAACCCCATCCGCTCAACCATCCTCATCAATCTCTTCTTTTCTCTCGTGCTTTCTCTTTCCTTGTTCCCGCACCTCAATCAACAGCATCGGAAGCCTGGGAAAAGAAAAAGATATCAGCTGCGTTTCAGACATAACAGTCCGCAAGTCCATCCTTCGCAACACCGCCAACGGGCTTCGCATAAAGACGTGGCAGGGCGGCAAGGGGAAAGCCCGGGGGATCCATTTCGAGGACATGATTCTCGAAAACGTTGGTAACCCTATTCGCATCGACCAGTTTTACTGCGACAGCGAGTCTTCCCGATCATGCGGCACCTCCCACGACGCTGTAGCGATTTCGGACGTCACGTTTAAAAACGTTAAGGGGACGACTTCTAAAGGGGAAGGGATCAAGCTCGACTGTTCCGATACAGTCCCCTGCAGCAACATCCTTTTATCGAACATCAACATCCAGCCAGTGGAAGGCGGGGAGCCGTTGGAGCCGTTTCTGAATAGCGCGTATGTGACTATAGAGGGGCCGGTTGTTCCAGAATTGAAGGACGTGAAGAGCAGCCCGAGCTCAGGACTGCTGTCAGCGGTGGAGGAGATGCAAGGGTACTGCTAACGGACGCGGAGGGAGTGTGCACCAGAGGGTTCTGCTAACGGGCATGGTGGTGGGTGATGGGTGGGGGGAGGATAAGGGTGGGTCTGGTACAGAGACGAGCAGGAGGGGATGCTGTGGCATGGAGGCAGCGGCGGCAGGAGTCCTGCAAGGCTCCATGCTTCAACTATGTTCTTCTCTCACGCCCGCAGGGTTGGGTGCGGCTGGGCGCCAGCACCCGCTTGTGACTTAGGCTAGCGTTGACACGAACGTCTGTCAGAGCCTTTCTGGCAACAGCAGCAGCAGCAGCAGCAGAAGAAGAAGAAAAGTACCAGTAGTGGTAGCAGCGGCATTGACTAGCAGCAGCAGCAGTTCTTGGTTTGGATACATAGGTGCGCCAGCATCCGCGTGTGGGCTAGGCGAGCGTTGACACGAACGGCTGTCAGAGCCTTTCTGACAGCAGCAGCAGCAGCAGCAGCAGCAGCAGTAGCAGCAGCGACATTGACTAGCAGCAGCAATGGCATGCAGCAGCAGCAGCAGTTACCGGCAACGACATAGCAATCAGTTGTAGAAGATTCACCAGCAATAGCAGCTACCCGAGCAGCAAGAGATGGCGTTAGCAGTAGCAGCATCAGTTACGAGCAACGACATTAGCTATCAGCTGCATTAGCAACCGCATTAGCAGCAAAAGGTGGCAGCAGCAGTAGGAGCAACTGCAAATTCTGTGGGAGAAGGGTTCCTTCTAACAGGGTCCTGTATACAGAGGCAAGACAAGGAAAGCAATCACTGGCGCAATACTATGCTCCTGGTAGGAGTGTGTCATGCTTAAGGGGCCTGCGGGTAAGACAAGCACCAGGAAAGTTCAGCTACGGCAAGGGTAGTGGGGGGGCCAGGGCAGGGGTCATGGTGTTGGGGTTTGAAAGTGAATGATGGGCTATGGAGATATGGAGTTACATGAGGGACTAAGGCAAGCAACGCATGGTCTGTTCTATCTGGCAGTACTTGCAGGTGTCTAGGTGTGTCCTGTTGTACATGTATGGAGTATGGAATTGAGGCTCATACCGGTAAATCTCGTCACCTTAAGGGGCCTGCGGGTAAGACAAGCACCAGGAAATTTCAGCTACGGCAAGGGTAGTGGGGGGGCCAGGGCAGGGGTCATGGTGTTGGGGTTTGAAAGTGAATGATGGGCTATGGAGATATGGAGTTACATGAGGGACTAAGGCAAGCAACGCATGGTCTGTTCTATCTGGCAGTACTTGCAGGTGTCTAGGTGTGTCCTGTTGTACATGTATGGAGTATGGAATTGAGGCTCATACCGGTAAATCTCGTCACCTCTTCTCCCTGACAAGATGCAATCGCCTATTCTATCCAAGCACGCTTTCCGAGGGACACCATTGTTGATTGTGGTCACTGCAGTTGGTCACTGAGCAAAGGCCACACTAAGTAATCCTAGCAATATTACTACGCTACTATTGGAGGCAATCCTATTGACATGTATCCTAGCAACCCTAAGTGCGTTGGATAACCTTGAGGCTCGGTGCTGCGGTAGGCAACGGCGTCTCACTGGGAAAGGCATGAGGCAAATCCTGCATGGGGAAAACGGGAAAATCATCGGGATGGGTCCCTTTTTTCTCAGATGTACGGCTTGCCGTAAGAAAATGTAGCATTTTTGTTTATTGAAAATATATCCAAGAAGTGTTGACTTGAGGAGACTGCCGAGTTAATTCACCAACCACACACACCCCGCATGCCTCGCTCCTCCCCCCCATCCCGTCTCGCTTACGGGACGGGACGTGCGTACGGCTTGTAACGAGTCACCACTATTCGTGACTCCTCGCAAAATCCCTACCCGAGCCGCGCATTTCGGGACAGAGATTCGGTGATACAGTATATATCGTCAGTCAACAATCCTTGATCCCCGAATCCCGTCATTCCCCCTCCCACCACATTCTGTGGTGTCTTCAACTGTAGAAATTCATTGCACAAACATCTAGCGCCGGCAGCAAAAGCATTCTTATCAGAAATGAGAGCCCTCTCGTGCTCTATGGGAAATCGACGGCTCATCCTAATTCCGCTGGTTTTCGCCCTCGTCATCGGGAGGTGCAGAGCGCACCTTCGATCCGCATCTCGCCGTGTACTCGCAGTCAGCAACGCCAGCCCCTCTGATGCATCGTCTGTTGCGAACAACTTGAACGATGCTGTCGCATGGAAGGCCTCTGCTCGTGCGGCGACACCTCAAGACGACTCCAACGGCGAGATGAAGCTGTCTGCGCCCCTATTCGCCTCCGCTGGAGGGAGCCATCGAGCTGCAAACACCTGGGCAGCGCGCGCGAATTACCACGGCAGTGCAAACGTTCCTCGCATGACCAAGCGCCGATTTGGTACTAGTAGTACTAACCTAAACTCTGACGCACAACGTCGCACGCGCAATGGCGGCCTGTCAAAAGCCCCCGGCAGAGCCAGCGGTAGGTTCCGCGCAACCGGCAGCAGCGACATGGCGATTCGCTATCACGGTTCTCCGCCGCACCACGGAATGGGCGGCAGCGGCAGAAACGGCGCTGGAGGTCGCTCCGGTGGAAGAGCGCAGGTCGGAGCGCGGCATGCGACGGTGACGCGCGGCGGCGCACAGCTGTATACCGCGAGGGGCGGCTCGGCCCACCACCTGAAGCGCGACGCGCTGCGGCAGCGGCACGTGGGGTTCCACAAGACGGCGGAGAAGGGTATGGCGCTGCGGCACACACAGAGTGCTGGGAATGGCGATGAGCTGTCAGCCTGGCTGGCCGAGGGCAGCGTCGGTGATGGGAATGCGGATGTTGGTGACTTGTCCTCGACTTTCCCCGTGACCGAATTCGGCGCCGGCGGCGATGGTTCAAGTGACGATTCAAATGCCTTCGCTGCGGCGTTCGAGGCGGCTTGCAAGGAAGCCTCGTCGTCCGACAGAAAAGCCGCGGTGGTGGTTCCGTCGGGACAGACGTTTCTTGTGAAGCCGGTGGTGTTCGAAGGGCCGTGCGGGCCGGGCGTGCGATTCACAATCGACGGAACCATTGTGGCGCCGGGTGATCCGGGGGAGTTTGACAACCCCGGGTCGGGCACGTATGGCGTGCTGAATTTCCGCGACATCCCGGGTTTGGAGATTGCTGGCAACGGACTGGTGGATGGGAATGCGGAGGTGTGGTGGGAGAAGGGCGGCGATGAGCGGCCGCAGAACATGGTGATCGTGGAATGCCACGGCGTGCTGGTTACTGGCATCACGTCCAAGTGAGTTTCGCCGCGCCGGGCGCGCCCCGTCTAATCCGTATTCCTGTTTGGTTGGCATTTCAAATTGTGGTATGCAACGCCGGGCTGGTTATCGGGATTATTTCCAAGTGAGCTTCACCGCGCCGCGTGCACCGTTCAATTCATTCCATCTATCTCGGTTACCCGAGATGCTTGTTTCTTCCTGTCTTGTTTTGAACTTAGCAAGGACTTGACGTTTTCCGTCCACCTCTTTCCCCCCTTCCCCTCACGTCTCCCTCACCTTCGCTTATCAACTTGTCAGGGACCCCGCATTCAAGCATCTGTTTTTTTACAAGAACAACGGCGCGACTGTACGCGGCGTGACTACATTGAGTCCCGAGGAGAGCCCGAACACGGACAGCCTGCATTTGTCGTACGTGCAAGACGCGCTCATCGAGAACTGCGAGTTTTCGGGTGGCGACGACAACGTGGCAATCATCAACGGAACGTCGCGCGTGCTGATTCAAAACATTGTCGGCAACTCCGGGCATGGGATCAGGTGAGGCGTCCTACATTTTACTTGTAAAGCCAAATCTGCATTTGGCTTGCTTCTCCCACCTATAACTTCCCATCCGCTCAAGCACACCCTCATGCATCTTCCTTGTGCCCTTCCTTTCCTCCCCCTACCCCCCCGTCAACCCAAACAACAGCATTTGAAGCCTGGGGAAAGATCAAGACGTTAGCTGCGTTTCGGACATAACAGTTCGCAAGTCTATCCTTCGCAACACCGCCAACGGGCTTCGCATAAAGATGTGGCAGGGCGGCAAGGGAACTGCCAGGAATATTCGTTTCGAGGATATGATTCTCGAAAACGTCGGTAACCCTATTCGCATCGACCAGTTTTACTGCAACAGCGAGTCGTCTCGGTCATGCGGGACCTCCCATGACGCTGTAGCGATTTCGGACGTCACCTTTAAAAACATTAAAGGGACGACCTCTAAAGGGGAAGGGATAAAGCTAGACTGCTCCGACACAGTCCCCTGCAACAACATCGTTTTGTCAGACATCAACATTCAGCCAGTCGAAGGCGGAGAGCCGTTGGAGCCGTTTCTCAATAGCGCGTATGTGACTAAAGAGGGGCCAGTTGTGCCAGAATTGAGGGACGTGAAGAGCAGCCTGAGCCCCGAGCTGCTGTCAGCGATAGAGGAGATGCAAGGGTACTGCTAAAGGGCGCGATGGGGAAGAGGTGGGGGAGGCTGTTAACGGGCGCGCTGGGGAAGAGGGGGGGGAGGCTGAAGGGGGGGAAGGGGGTGCAATTGTGGATCTGCTGAAGGGGCGCAGTGCATGGGGGTGCAGAGAAGGACGTGACGAGCAGCCCGAGCTCGAAGCTGCAGTCAGCAACAGAGGAGATGCAAGGGTACTGCTAACGGACGCGCTGGGAGGGGGAGAAGCAATGGTGGGTGTACTTACGGGACATGGTGGTGGCGGGTGTGCAATGGAAGACGCGAAGAGTAGCTGGAGCTCGGGGCTGCTGTCGTCGGCAGTAAAGGAGATGGATGGAAGGGTGATGCGAACAGGCGTGGTGGTGGGGAAGGGTGTGGGTGGTGCATTGGTTGGATTTGCTAACCGGCGTGGTGGGGGGGAGTACATTGGTGGTTACTTCCAGTGGGAGCAGTGGTGGGGGAGGCGAGGCGACTGGTGGTGCTAGCACAAGAACGTTTGTCAGTGCCTTTCGGACAGCAGCAGCAGCAGCAGTTGCGACTTCTGAGTCGACTCAAAAATCGACTGGTGGTGCTAGCACAAGAACGTTTGTCAGTGCCTTTCGGACAGCAGCAGCAGCAGCAGTTGCGACGACGTTGACTAGTAGCAGCCACGTTAGCAGCAAGAGGGGGGAAAGGGAGGCGAGCTTACCACCTCTTGCTGCTAATGTGGGCTACTTTCGTGTCGCCTGCCACGGCAGCAGCACTTCTGAGGAAGCTTGGGGGTTCCCTCTAACAGGGTCCTGTATACAGAAGCAAGTCAAGGAAATCAGTTAGGGGCGCAATACTAGTATGCTTCAGGCTGGTGACAGGCGAACACGCTTCAAAGGGGTAGCGGCGAGTCAAGCGGGGTTATCTGCTGACACTGAATAAGAATGTGGGGTTTTTTGTTGTGTGTGGGATATCGGGGCGTCAGGGTCCAAGGTGTTGGGACTTGGAAACTGAACGAAACGGTGTGGGGTTTCGGGTTGGGAAGCACAGGGCATCGCGAAAAAGGAAAACTACGTTTTTGGCCTCCGAAGGTTTTTCTGCGTCGGCCTTGCGAGAATGTTGCGGAAAGCTGCGGGAAAACAACTCACTCAAATCGCAACATTCCGCACACCAAAAACGCTCCAGTACATCATACGGAAAATAGTGACTACACAGCAACAATATCGTGAAGCTTTCGAAAAACCGAATCGCACACCTACACCCCGAGTCGCTCTCCCCCTCTCAAATTTCTAGCACAAATTTCCGCGGTATTGTAAGTGCGGTTTGTCCATTCTGTCACTGCATAACTTTTTATCCCAAACAAAGTTGACGCTTACACACAAATGCCAAACATGGGTTGAAAACTCCATTCCAAATGTTCTCCCAGAACAGCCACTATTACATCAACAAGACAACCCCACACCCGTCAACCAGTCGTACGGTCCCGCGCACACACGACTCCCACTACTTTGCCCCACTGCACGATCCTTGCATCACTCGTCGTCCTCAGTCTCGCGCACCGCTGGGTCTGGCACGTCCTCCGGGCGCATCCCCGCGCGCGCACGCTTGACTGGCGTCCTGCCGAGGCGGGAAATCACCTCCTGGTTAGATGCTCCGACCTCTGCTGGCACGAGGGCCGGGGGAATGCCGAGCGCGTCGGCACGCTCCACGTACGCATTTGTTACGTTGCGAATCACGCGCCGCCTGCTGCGCTCGTCACGCAGCAGTGGGCCGTCTGGCAGACTCATCTCGCCCGACGAGTCATCCGACGCGCTGGCCGCAGGTGTGGCCCTAAACCCCTGCTCCACGCAGAGTCCCGCGTCGCAGTTGACAAACTCGGCCGCCGTCATATAGCACGCAGGCCTCATCTTGAACTTCTCGATTAGCAACTGCAGCTCGACGCATATCGCAATGAGGGGCTCAAACATGCCCGTTGCGCTCGTGTCACTCAGGTACGCCATCAGTGGCGGCCAGCTCGGTGGCACGCATCCGGCGCGCCACCAGCTCCTCTGCATGGTGACGGCGCGCACGCGAGTCCACGCTTCTCCCAGCCACTCGAGCATGAGGCCATAATCCACGTCCGCGATCGATGCCGAATAGTCGAATTGGAACCGCTTCGCCGCTATCGCACGCTTCATGAGCATAACGCGGTAATGGCCCTTCAGCGCATCCTCCACTCCCTGGAGGTGCGGAAGGCCCCCTTCAGGAACCGACCCACGAATGTTGACGATTCGGGTGTTGGTCAGGTGCTGCACACTGAAGCCGTGCTCCGTGACGGGTCGCGCGACCTCGCCTGTGATGCGATGCGCCTCGTGAATGGTTAGGATGAGGGTGTTGCGATCACGGCTGAAGTGCACACCATTGACAGTCTCCACGAACTCCGTGAACACCTGTGTGCACACCAGCAGACATAACGCACACCACCATCAGATGTACGGTGTGCACACTTGTGATGCACACGTCAGAGACGCACGGTACACATACATTACACATTGTCCCGTACCTCCGGCGTCAACCGCCCGCGATGCGTATACCGGACAGCCACCTTGCGACATGCCGCGCTCCCCCGCCTGCGCTCGGGCCTATCGTACGGCGATAGAACAACCAGAGGCACCGCGGAACAACTCCCCGTCGCGTTGTAAAGAATGCCGACGCTGACAATCCGCTCCGCCCCAACACGCTTATCCGGAATGTACGTCTTCGGAAGCCGGCTCGGGAGAAAATTAATCTCGTGGAAGCAGAACACGTCGTCCGGGTGCGCGGTAGCCAGCAGTCCCTTCAGGTCACCCATTGTAGCACTCTGACAACCAGGTTGGCAATTATGCGTTGAAGGCCGGAAGACCCCGTACTATATATGTTTCACTCTACCGGAACGTACCCCCATTTTTCCCCTGTACGCACACTGCGTACATCGGTTGACATGCCCCACACAACCAACCGACAACTACCCCAGCGCCGCTCGACGATAACGCACACATGTGAAACGCCCACCTGTTACGTTCACATAGGCCATCTCGCGTTCCCGACGGCACTTACGCGTCACCCATATCCGACCAGCCAACGGCATGTGCTCGGTCGTTCACACAACCACACATTGAAGCGCGTCAACCTCGACCGCACAAACGTCAACAGTACTCATACTCGTTATGTACCCGACATTCAAACTGCACTCACCATTGACATTCTGTTTAAACTCTTGGGTCAACATTTAGCATACGTCAACTGTGCGGCCTACCCATGCACAATTGGCCATCTGATTGCCATATACATGTGTGCACATTATATCATCCGTGCATTTTGTGTTTCGCCAACTGCAACACTAACGGTACCATGATACCATCAATTCCAGCCACAATTTCGTTTACCTACTGCATTACTGTACCCATCCATCCTGCATTTCACACATCTACATCGTATAGCGTGTTGGTTGCCAACCTTGTGGATCAGCACTGCCGTTCCACCCCACCAACATGCATCGTCACTCACACAACAAAAACATGTTCACTAGTTGCACATTCTTGTTGCTATACGAAGGGCACACGTGCACCACTCTCTGCAGGCTCCTCAACTCCACCACCGAGTACCTCACCTTATCCACTTTCTTGTGCAGCTGCTTGCACCCCGTAAGCTTGCATCTTCCCGCCCCCTCATAGTACCGCACGTATGCGTACCCCTTCCAGTTCCCCTCGCGGTCAACCGCCCTGAAGATGCACAGACATCTTGCAAACCAGTCCCCCTTCTTGTTGTTCAGCAGTGCCACGTCCGAATACCACCTCTCTCGGGGAGACGCCTTCACAAATGTCCCTTTTGCCACTAGCTCTCCGCCCCTTGTGCGCGGAATGGCCACCGCCGTGTGGACCTGCCACACCATGGAACCCAATCCATCATCAGATACCATCATGAGTGCAGTGACAACCAACGTGACAACCCCGGATGCGTCATGTAACGCTACCACATCATCACCTCACCTGCACGTTGTTGGTAGACAGCCCCAACGCCTTGAACTCATCGGCCATCCCCTTCATCTCGTCTCCAAGCGCGGCGGTGTACTCGTTGTACACTGGATCCGACTCCCCCCCTATGCGCATGATCCGATACTTCTTTGTAAGCACCGGTTTCCTCGTCTTGATTGCCTGCACGTGACGCCCACATGCACACAACAAACCGCATATCACGTGAGGCACGGCTCTTCCCTGGTAAACCGCTCCACTATATACTCCCAATGGCCATCACCGTACGAAGGACACCTGTACTCACCTCGCTCAATGCGGTCGCGTACTGTCGCCCACCCCCCGCGTCTGCAGCCACTTCACGGTACACCTCTCGCTGCACCTCCTCCTCCACAATGCGGCGTGGAATGTCGCTCCAGTTGCTCCCTCTTACTGGACCCTTAACCGTGCCCTTGTGCGTGCGCTCCCACATTTCCGTGGAATAATGGTGCGGCATCCCACGGTGGACAACGTTGTCCAGTAAGTGCCTTATCATGTGTATCTTTGGGAGTCTCCAGTGGGATGCCTGCTTTGGAAATGCCCGCGGTAGCAACTCCACCAACCTGCCACACCGTCCACAAAAGCATACAACACTCGATGAACCATCATGCATCCCCATCGTGTATCACACCACATTGTTCGCACAATCACACCGCACACGCTCCCAGCACCCCGACCAACCTCTCGGCGTACCCAGGTATGTACTCACGCTATTGCATGCTTACGTGCAATCGCAATTGTTGTATGTGTGTGCCTGTCAACCCCCAGAAACGCCTTGTAAAACACAGCAAACAGCCGGAACGCTTTGACCTGCAAAGCACGCAGCTCTCCCTCCTCTCCACCCTTCAATGCACTCTCGTCAGCCACCAGTATCGGCATTATCTGCATCATGCTCCTGTGCTCGAACGCGGCGTAATTTGCGCCTGAACTGAAGAACGCTGAGCCCCCTGGGATTCGGAGGAGAACGCTAGGCGTGATGGCCTTGAACTCCTTCTTGCATCTGCGCACAACACGGATTCGAAGAGCTCATGTAGCTGCACACATGGTGTCCTACAAACCAACTGACCCCGGCAAGGTAGAGCATGCCCAGTTCGACCACCCAACAACACCCGGCTCACTGTTCAAGCAGCCGCATCTCAACCTTCCCGAGCGGCTCTATGTAGGTGTCCATCATGTGGATCAGCACACCAGAGTCCAGTACATGCAGCGTGTCTGCAAGGCATGCCAGATACACGTTGCCCCACTCTGTGTCTGCAAAATTCCACCTGTGAAGCACGCACTGCACGGTGCAACGGAGGACACGACGGTGTCAAAACGTGCCCACTGGAACCCTAAACGAGTATCCTATCCAACTCGAAACACACCTCGATCGGATGGGTTGACCACAACCTCCGCACATCGTCAGCGTCGCTTTGCTTCTTACACGCCAGGATCTATCGGACAATGTCCCTCTGCTTCTCGGGGGTACGTGGATCTACCTTCCCCACCATCATGGTCAACTCCCCCTTGTCTGCATAGCAGTTGGCGCATGGTCGATGCGACCCTTGCTGAAGCGTCGCAGATGCTCTGCTGGATTCAGGGAAGTCGGCAGGGTATCCGTACAGGCAAGGGACCGCCTTGTGCACCTTCCCGTCCGCGTCTGTGCAGTAGAAGAAGCGAACTCGGGCGCTGCGCAGTGTACAAATGCACACATGGTGTGCAGTTAGTGATGTTACATATACACAACTCGTAGTCCTCTCTCCACTCACTACTTGATGGGGTGCCCACCACGGGCGACTTCGTGTAGCACTTTCAACACCACCCCGGTCCCCCAGTGTACCTTGCAGACTCTCGCATGATGGGCGCGAGGATGATCTTTATCGCCTCCTGGAACACGCGCGTCTTCTCCGTAGACGATGCCCACTCAGGTGGGAACGGAAGCACCGCCGCCAATGTGTGCCCAGGCTCCACTCCTCGCAATTCCGCCGGAATGTTGATAAGTGAGATCAGCACCGGCCACGCGTTCCTCCTGCCATTCCGTGATGCCTGTGTGCTGTCACTGTATATCAGCACGCCTAGAATGAGTGCATCCTCGTCATTAATCTCCTTCTGCCATGTGCACCACACGTGCCGGTGAGCTGTGGGTAATCGAAAGCATCGTACCTGTTGTAATCCACAATTAATGGGCCGAGCCTAAACGCGGCGCGTACCTGGGCTGCGTGCATCCAATCACCAGTCTCCGGTCCTTCAAACACCCTCTCGTTGTTCTTCTTCCGATGAATCTTCCTTGGTTTCCAAACGAACCCCTTCTTCGATGAGAACGTCCGCACCAGCTTCTTCAAAATCTGCGGGCATCGATGTGGAATCAGGCGCGAGTTATGGTAGGTAACGAACAGTGGTCACGGGCGACACTTCATTACGACGTCGAGAGCTGGGGTGGGCTCCTATTACGAACCAGCTCTGTGTCGCGGAAGTGCAGTAGCAGCTTCATTTGCATTCCTTTGGGGCCCCGCACCACTATCTCCTCTGTTTTCCAAGGGACCATGTCGGCGGGAGCGCGCGCCATGCCCCAGCGGCGCACGTCCACCCAGTTGCGCCATCGTCTGAGGGCCCGTAGGTTGAAGCGCGGATTGCGGAATATGTGTAGCAGACGGTTAACCTCCCTGTGCGAGAGATCGGCGTCCCTAAAGAAAAGGTACAACTCCGTCAGTGTATCGAAAATCTCCGCCCTCACGCTGTCTTCTGAAGACCCTGCATGTTCGCCCTCAGCTGGTGTATCCTCGTCTCCAACAAGACTGACTTCGGGGATCGAAGCCGTTGGAGCAACAGATATAAAACTGCCATCATTCTCCTTACGCCTGGAGGCCGGCGGTGTGTTAGGTCTGCTCTCTCCGTCGCATGCGAGGGCTTCCAAATATGCAGCTAGCAAAAGACTCTCTCGTTTCCTCTTCAACTCGGCGCGACAAACTGCACCATTGGCGACATGAGACTGTAACCTGCTGTCGTCTTTAAACACCGTCTCGCTCACCAGGCAACTGTTGCCCGTCATCCTACAGCCGTGAAACCCTAGGGGGCCGAGCAATCGAAACCCTGTTCAGTACCTCATGTGCACACTAATAAAACTCACAGGAACAACTTATCGCCCACACATGTGCAGGAAGACGATGAAATGTGTGCATGAAACAACGGGTCATTTGTTACACGATAATCAATGTACACCCCAACATGAGGGTTTGCTAAATTCTAAAAGCAGTCTAAAGGGTGCATTTATTTATTGGAAAGAAAAGTATTTATGTCCCGATGTGTTGAGAACCAAGGACTGATTATTTGTACATACAAAACACAACGACCCCAAAGTTGTTCTGCGATTTCACCTGCAATGTCGCGCAATGCACGTGTACACCCACAACTTTTTTACATATCCATAAAAATATAGCAAAACATTGAATAACCGCGTATACCAATAGACGATTATCCCATCCCATGGCACAACTGCGGATTCCAAACGATGCTCGGCGCGCCCTAATAACACAACGACCCATGTGCCCCCTACCGCGTACGGGGACATCGGAATCTGCGTCATTCGGAATGTACAAGAAAATCGGGCCACAACTGGTCAAACCACCATGCACCAGGTTTGGTGACCCACCCAAGCCTCGGACCACATATTCCGAAACCCTCGGCTCATCACACGTGGATCTGCATGTGACCTCACCGTCACATCCGGGTGAGCTGTCCAATCACACCTGATGCATCGCATGCGATTCTGCGCCAACGGTGTAGATCATTGAGCACGGGCATGCTGTTCGCACCAGCCTATGCGCGAAAGGCATGGGTGACGCCCTGCAGTAGCAGCTTCATTCCGAATGGTGCCACGGTCGCGAGATCCGTGAGTAGCTGTGCTCACCCAGTCATCCCCTCCGTGCTCACCTATGAATCACTCTGCGTCCTCCGAATTGTAGTGAGTGCTCGTTCAGGATGGCGAAACCCAAACAGTTGGTCTCTAAGCGCAACCGGTTCTATGAATCGGAGACTAGCAGCAGCGGCGATGACGAGGACCCCGACCCGCCCGTCACCAGATCTAGGGCGTCGAACAAGGGCGACAATCCTACTGCTCCCTGCCCGCCGACGAAGGACACCGGAAGGGCTTCTAGGTTCGCGTCTCATGTTGTGAACAAGGCGAAGGAGCCCGTGCCGGACGACATGGTGGCCGCTATCGCCCGGAATTATAAGAAGGCAACGTACAGCAACGTGATGCTCATGAATCACCGCGGTGTCGGATGCACGGTGGATAAGGACGACTTCATGTCAATCGAGGACGATCAGTGGATTACAGATGGTGTCATCGACTTCCACAACGTGTAAGTACCGATATGACGGCCGAACCCTTCACGCGGGGCTTTGCGCGATGGTTACTGATGCCAGTAGCCAGATGTGGTAACATGTACTTGTTCACCTCTTCGCAGGCTGCTTAGCATCAGGAAACCAACGCTCCGCGACGGGAAGACATGGGCCGCCATGGACTGCAAGGCTTACACACAGACGAATTCGCAGGGTGCGCCGTTAACGCTTGGGAATGGGCGGCCGCTTCTGGAACACGATTATCTGGCGATCCCGGTGCTAGAATCGTGAGTAACGTGCATAACGTGTTTATCGATGGGTTTATGTTGTGTGCCATGGTAACCTGTCTATCCACTGACACATTTAACACCGCTCATGTTGCGCGCAGTGAGCACTATTCGCTGGTCATCACAATAAATCCATCGGTGCTCACCAAGTCGCCGAAATCGAAGGGCAAAGAGCGCTTGACGTTGGTATTGATGGACAGCGCGATCAAGCATCGGAATAGCCGCAAGATTTTAGCAGGAACAATGCTGTGAGTATGGGTTTAAACAAGTTCGTATACAGTAGCCTTGCTTGATCTGCATATTAATACCAGTTGACCTGTTGCGTTCAGTGTGCTGTCTGAGCTCGCAAAGGCGAGCTCCCCAAGCGCGAACATGGAGTTTGTGGACCAGACGCTGAAGGAGGCGGACTGTTGCATTTTACGGGTAAGTATGCGACGTTAACCGTGGACACCGATGTGCGGTTTGTACTTGATGGTGTGCATACTGATAAACAATGTGTGCGGTGCCATGTTGGCAGGAGGACAAGCTGCCACAGCAGCCTAACAAGGAGGACTGTGGGATTTTTGTTTGCCAGTACCTCAAGACCCTCGTGAATACCAACTTCGCCACGGTTCTTTCGGGCCTCTGGTTCCAGGGTGTGACACCGCACCAATACAGGCGGGAGATGCGGCGCGACCTGTGTGCACACGCGAGCGGCGCTCTTTTGCAACAGCTGCAGGACATGGGAATTGAGATCCCCCCGCAAGACGGAGGCCGTGTTACCGATGAGGGTACAGTGGTGCAGTCGAAGAACGCGGCTGTGGGAGATGGGAGGCCGGCACCGGTCACTCGCCCTGTGGAGGACGCACGGGTTACGGAGGTGATGAGGCGTGTAGCCTCCTTGACTAACGATGTGAGGTACCTGAACGCCACCGTCACCGTGATCGCCAACTTTGTGGGACTGAGGCGGGACGAGGTCGTGTCCACTGCAACCCAACTGCTGCTGCAGGGCGGTCACCCGGGCACCGGCACGAATGCAGAGGCGGGTGGCAACAAGACTGCGCCTCGCACACCACAGCGTCCGTCTGCCCGTAAGATGCGGGCCGACAGCAGTCCTGAGGAGGATGGCGTGCGCAACGGCATGTCAGAATCCCAGTCACTAACCACTGGGATAAAAGGGCTTGTTTGTGTAGCGGGTGAGTGCGCCCATAACCCCCCAGGCCAACATGCCTGTAACCCTTCCCTAGGATCATCGGGGATCTCCAGTGGACCTCTGACACCCCCCCGCACTGGGATGCCCGAGGTGCACACACCGGGATTCGAACCCGAGACCTTCGCTCTGATACCATGTCAGAATCCCAGTCACTAACCACTGGGATAAAAGGGCTTGTTTATATAGCGGGTGAGTGCGCCCATAACCCCCCAGGCCGCCATGCCTGTAACCCTTCCCTAGGATCAATCGGGGATCACCAGTGGACCTCTGACACCCCCCCGCACTGGGATGCCCGAGGTGCACACACCGGGATTCGAACCCGAGACCTTCGCTCTGATACCATGTCAGAATCCCAGTCACTAACCACTGGGATAAAAGGGCTTGTTTGTGTAGCGGGTGAGTGCGCCCATAACCCCCCAGGCCAACATGCCTGTAACCCTTCCCTAGGATCATCGGGGATCTCCAGTGGACCTCTGACACGGCACCCGGGTAGCGCTGGCCTCCACGTTCGCTGCATGTGCGCCTGCATCGAGCCTGCTCCCGAACCCGCTGCTCTCCCAGGGTGCCATACCTCACTGGATGTTCACGCGCGGGAGGCAGCTGCTCGGGAACGGTGTGCCACCTGGAGATGCCGCGTGGGGAGACACGCACGGGCAGGAGACGCTGAAGGGCGAAGAGGAGGAGGACCTCGTGTCCGACTCAGACGACGATGGCGAGGACGAGGATACGTGTGCAACCACGTACACGGGTGTGAAGCTGGACAAACGGACTGGCAAGTTCGGCGTCAAGATCTTGATCAAAGAACGTGGAAAGCGTAAGCAGCAGCGCCTGGGAGCATACACCACGGAGGAAGAGGCGGCATTCGCGTATGCCGCTGGTGCGTTCGTCCTGAGGCCACGCGACAGGATACCCAACACCGTCACCCTGTCAGCGGCTGAGAAGGCGATGCTGCGGGGATGCACAAAAGAAGATTTGCAAATACTGGTGGAAGCAAGGAAGTGGTGGAGGTGGCGAAGCTGGCGTGACGCGCTGGAGAGCGTGAGCAGCAGGCTGAAAGGAGGGAGGAAGCGTGGGGGTGACACAGGTACATCAAAGAGGCGCAGGGTGGTGGAGAACAACAACACGGCTACCAACGAACCGGCGGCCCCCGAGAATGCAGAGAGTGGGGGGACGGCCCCCTTGTGCAATGGGCACGGCGGAGGTGCAAAGGAAAATGACCAGGAAGAGCGACAGGGAGACAGTGGTGCACAAGAGAAGACGGCAGTCACAGCTGCATAGTGGTTGTGGAGTCAAAGCAGGAGATACTTGTTCGTGCGTGTATTTTAGAACATATGTGTGAACACCTAGCTGATCTTCAATAGTGTGCTATCATGGTTGTATGCCTGTGCGATCAATGCTAATGATTGTGATTTCACCACCATGTGCCTCTTTGATGTACGGTTGTGGCCGGGTTGTTTTGTTCTCAGGATGCGTTATCGTGCAGTTGGTGTGCTGGCAGCCGGAAAAGGTGTATGGAGTCCCTGAATACAGGAAACCGGATGTCTATACCAGAGGTATCACAAACGATGTATATGGATACGGTTGTGTCACCACGATGTGCGCAATGTATGGTTCTGCTGTGGACACCCGTCACCGGTATGAAGACGTGTTGTTCACTCATTGGACGTTTTGGATTGCGGTCGTCCAGATGTGCACGAGGTATTCCTGGCTACCAAACTCCTCGAGTAAACGGTGTCGCGGTGTGTTTGGAAGTTGAGCTCCCAACTCTAGGTAGAAAAATGGGTAGCGCGTCACTGTCAAAGCATCTCACTGGATACTTCAATTGCTATAATGGAGACCTCGATGGCTTCCGAGGATACGAGGGCCGGAGGCCGCTCACGTCGTGTCTCGCAACCGCCGGCATACCTGCGTTCGTCATACCAGTTGACGATGCCGCGAGGTCGGCTGTCGAACGGGAAGCGTGGGGCGACCGTTCCCAAGCGCTTGAGCTTGTCCACTAAGGGAAAGGAGGTGGCACATTCAGAGCAAGGTATGCATAACGAGCGTATGTGGATGAGTCCCGACGTGTGCTGCACGCGATGTTGATCTCACCCGTGGAACTACGGAGTAAAGCAAGATGCTAACTAGTGGTGTTGTGCTTCCCTGGTGTTTCTCTCACCCACAGATGACGGCACGGGTGCAGAGAGTGCAGATTCGTCTGAGCGCAGCGAGGAAGAGGACAAGGAAAGCGAAGACACATCGGCGCCAGGATCACAAGAGGAATCCGCCGACCAGGGCGCTGGAGGGAAGACGCACGACGATGGATGTGCAGGAATATCCGCGGCCAATGCTGACAGGCGCACACATCAAGATGCGCGGGACACGGATGTGTCTCGAGGCGACGGCCGAGGACAGGCGGACGGACTTGTTGGCCGCACACGCGTGAACACCTTGGACGCCAACGGCGATGACGTGCGCATCCCTAGCCGGATCCTCGAGCAACTCATACAGGCGCAGGACAAGAGCGCCAAGGAGAACGCGCGTTTGGAGGCGCTGTTTTTGAATGCGATGTCTCGCCCTTCCGGTGGCTCTGGTAAGCGTAAAGCTCAGAAGCAGAGAGACCCGGGGCAGGGTTGTATGAACCCGAAGCGACAGCGTGGTGAGACGTGGAGTGGCGGGTCCGACGGCGACGGCGAGGATGACGATGACGACACGCATGGTTCTGGTGGCCGTCATATACATACCGCGAAGTCTCCTATTCTGCAACGCGCTTTGGAGCATTTGCCGACGGACAAGGCATGGAAGGTGAGCGGGCATGTTACCGTTGGGGCCTTTTTTCCGTTCGTCGTGTTGGGCTGCCATGTGGGTCAGGTGATGGTTACCGGTTTGCACTTATATCATGTTTTGTGTACACCGTATGTGCGCAGAGGGTTTGCGAGCTGGCCAGGGTGCACATGTTTCTCAACAGGCCGACGTCGACGATGACCTTCTACCCGAGCAGCGACGATAAGACTCACGGAGTGTGTGCGGTGCTGGACCGCCTGCCGCATAGCTTCGCCTGTTTGGCGCTGGCGGCTGACAAGTCGCGTCGCGCGGATCTCAACAAGACGCTATCTGAGTGGAAGACAAGGGCTGCCGCACGCGTGCGAGACATTGCACTTCCCAAGCTCGGATTGTTCCGCGACGACAGGGACGCATCCAGCCCATGGGCGCCCGAGAAGGCACGCAGTATCGATAAGATCCGGGAGCGCATTGGTCTTGGCGCTGACCCCCCTGGTGAGTGCAATCTACCACTGCAGAGAGGGTTACCTACGTATGCTTATGCTGACCACCTCGTGGTTGGCGACGGCTGACACTGACAGTGCGCATGTGGTGTGCAGAAACCCTGGTGCTCACGAGCTGGGCGAACGACCGTGACGGCATGCCGTTTGCCTCCCGGGCGTTCACGACATGCGCGAAGGCTGCATTCAGGCCCAAGAAGGCCGGGCTGGTGATGACACTGAAGGTGTACCACCTGGCCTGGTTGGAGCATGTGGTGAGTCTGTGCGCCCTATGCGAGCCATGTTTTCGAGTTGTACCGCCGCACCATTTGGGTGACACGCTGGGTGGTGGATGCGCAGGTCTCCGACTGCGTCCTCTACTGGGAGGAGAGGAAAGGCCGGCTTTCCAACTCGGCCGGCGGCAACGCACACGTCGTGGACGGCCTCAAGGTCCTGGTGAAGGAGGTCGTGGAGAGGGCGATCAGGATCCGCAACCCGGAGTATGACGCGGAGCGAGAGGCGTGGATCTGGGGGCGCCATGGACTGCGCATCTCTGCGTGCGGCCTGGAGCACATGAAGCCACCGCCGCAGCTCAGTCCGAAGAGCCTGAGGGGGACGACGACCTCTCGGCGTCAGTTGGTGATGAGTAGGCCGAAGGGCGTGTGAGGGCGTTCAACATTGAGGCGCGCACCGTTGGTGGGACAGGTGGCTGGTGTCGTGGAAGGCAGCATTATCGGTTCCGTGTCAGGGGTTTGCGCAAGAGTTTTAGTGGGCACTGGATGTTGCATATGTGGGCTGCGAAGCTAGTGGGGTTATTTATATGCATAGTTACGTTGTATGCTTGTGTGTGTGTGAGTTGTTAATGGGAGAAGTATTCATTGGGGTATATGCGCATTTGACCGTACAACAAGGATACCCGTCGGTAGCGAAACACCGCGGGAATACCGTCAACCAGGTGTTTCGATTGGCGCGGACCGCGCCGCAATTTGCGGCGCCTTTCACGGAACGTGACAGGTGTCACGGTAATGTGTGGACGTAGAAGCACCCGCGGGGCGCAAGCGTGGACATATGAGTGGATACAATGGATAAGATATGATGTCCCACCAATTGCATACAATGGTTGCACGCGCTCAAGTACGCGTGTCACCGCACGGAGCGAACGCCGCGTCGAGGTTAACGGGGGGAACGCAATGTGATATGCGGTTAGAGTGCGACTGATGTTCGGTTGTGATTGATTAGCGAAGACGTCGCGAATGCGAGCCACGATGAGATGGTTTAGGGTAACTGTATGTGCGAGTCCACGATCGCACGGCAAGTGTACGGGGTAGATCGATTATTTATGCGTGACGTGTCAGCACGGTGGTGGATACGATGTACACGGATGGACGATGCAGATGGCGTCGACAGGTAGTCGCGCGTGCGTTACTACTGGTTTGCGAACGAGCTGGCGAAGTGTACGATACGGGGGCGACGCGACAGGTGTACGGTGACTGTGCAATGTAGTGCAGGGTGCGGACGGGGAATGCGCAAGTGTAGTGAGGCCACGTGGTAGCATGCTAGTGGGTATCACCGGCGTGGTTTGCGGTTAGCGCCCCTGTGGGTTGCCTACAACTGTCATCTGTGTACTGGATGTGCGTCCATCAGATGTACGGTGCAGAGCCGCGCGCGATGTTGGCGCGAGCATGTGCGAGTTAGTGTTCGCGAAGTCGTAACATGATGTGCGAATTTATGTGCAGGCGACACGTGAACCATTGAGATTGCGTGACCCTAGTGTTCATCCAACGGTTGGGGTGCGGGTACGTTTTGGTGCATGTACGCTGACGTGGCCATGCGGGTTGAAACAGGGTGCCACGTGGGTGTGCGCGTACGGAGTGGCAGTTGGGGTTGCGTACTCGTAGCTTTCTAGTCGATTGGCACGGTATGGTTAGGTAAACTTTTGTGTGGCGCAACCCGTTACTGTTTAGCAACTGCCCAGATGCGGGTGCAGTGGCTAATTTGATGCACGCATATGTACAGAATGTCGCGGGAAAGTGGACTCAAAGTTGCTTTGTAAGTGACTGTCGCCATGCAGATCTAAAACCTTGACTCAAAAGTGCCGTGAAAAAAATATCGGGAATGTTGAGTAAAAGTTTCTTGCGATTTGCTTTTCGAGCTTTCCTTTTTCGCAATGGGGGGGCTGTTTTCCCTTGGTTGGATTCACTGCAGTGGGCCATAGTGGGCCATAGAGGAGAAACCACCAAACCTCGTATGAGCAATCGGCCATCTCTGGAGAATGGACGATCGGTCCCAGTAAGACCTGGCGTGGCGTGTACTGAAGCTAGTATAAGCTGCAATGCGTGTGATAACAAATATAGATTAAGTAAATGTGCTCAATTCAGGAGAAACGTTCACACGTACAGCACAGCCTGGAAAACCACCCTAGATACATTCATCCGTTAGTATACTTACTCGCCTCAGTAAAGCACGCCCGCCATCATGCGTTTGAACTCGCTATAGTCAACCTTGCCATCCCCGTTAGCGTCTACTCTGGCGATCATTCTATGGCAATCCTCCATCGACATGGCGTCACCGCTGAGCATCTCAATCGCCTGCTGGAGCTCCCCCGCGCAGATCGTGCCATTCCCGTCGCGATCGAACAGATCAAAAGCTCTCCGCAACTCGCCGTCTTCAGCTGTCGGTGCTGCTGTCGCCTCTCCGGGTTTCCCGCTGGGTCTGCACGCGTCGCAGCCGCTAGAATCGGGAGAGCGCCACAAGAGGGAAGAATTCACAAACTCCTCGAAGTCAACTAGGCCGTCGCCGTCAACGTCTGCTGACTGAATTAGTTCGCTGACGGAGACGCAGACGGTTTCCGTCCGACTGAGTCGCTCCAATACCAGCGCCAACTCCGCTGGGGAGATTTTTCCGTCGCCGTTTATGTCGAAAACGCGGAACGCGTTCAACGCTTCTTGCCTTTGGGACGGAGTTAAGGCATGCTGGCGCTTTTCGTCGCGAGTTCGTGCGCAGTGGCATGGTGGCGCGAGCTTATTCCTGGACATGGTTGTGGCGCCTAATTATCAAGTGCATATAATGATTTGCATCCGTTCTATGGTGAAGGCGCAAGCTCTCCGACCTGCTAGAAACATGACAGAGATGTGTGAGAACGGATAAACACGGTGAAGGCCTTTCTTTGATGGCCGATGCACCCATGTCGTTGCACGGGTACGTCTTGGTCTCGAAGTGGGATGGGATGATAAACAAGACGTGCCTTCCCACCGTCTTCCTGGCCCGCAAGTTTTGGGTATGAAGGATGAAATTTGAAGCGTGAAATGGAGGGAGGGTTGGGAGGGAACCCACCCGTGCCAAAAAGGACATTGGGAAATTGACATCGCGGCTCGCACTTGTGCGAATCGACCGACATTTCAGAAATCGCATCCGCTTCAGGGTGGCTGAAGTGAAGAGCCGTTTGGCTCTGACGATGAGCTGTTCGGTGAAGCGAGCGGGTGCAGTCCAGCGAATTTGCGAGCGTCGCTGTCAAGCCATCTGAACCATCGGCAGGGAGGTTCATCCAGGCCAGCACGTTCGCGACAGATTCGATCTCTAGCGAAATGGCTTTGGGAAACCAGACCCAAATCTGTGTGGTTCGAAATGTTTCGTGATTGGCTTTTTTGTTACACTGCCAAGCAAATCCAAACCAATGGAGCTGGCTTGCAGTGACTTGTATCGATCTGCCTGTATGAAGTCCAATGTGGTCATTCTCATCCTCTCCCTTCCATACAAACCGCCACTTCCTGTCCTTTTCGCCCCTTTTTCACCACTTTCCAATAAACTGGCAGTTAGAATTAGCTGGTGTCTTGCACTGATGCAGTAAGAAAGTCGCGTCTACGCGGCCCGGTTCCAAATTGCGGTTAAATCCACCTCTTGTGAGCGGAGACGCAGCGATATCAGCATCACCCGGAACCACCTCCCCCCGTGCAGAAAGCTCACGGTACGTAGGGTTACGTTCAACAGAATCGAACAGCAGACAGCCGAAACAAATTCGTGCGGCGAAATGGGCCAACCTCCGATACAGCCCCTCGGCACTAGTGGCGGTTACCCTCAACAGATTCGCGCGGCGTTATCGCGAAAAATATCAAGCCCTGTAGTTCGTCGGATGATCCGGCGAGGGAGCGCAGGCGAGGCTAGCGGCTTCAACCCTGGGAGGAAGCATCGAGCTCTGGGAGGAAGGCAGGGGGTTGAAAGCGGTGCCAGCAGTGCCAGCGAGGATAGAGATGCGACTCGATTCACGCAGGAAGGCAAACGCGCGCCGGTTCTTGGGGAGGCCCCTGCTGTGCCTAGAAAAGGCGCATCTGCAGCTGCGAGCTCTCAGTGCAAGTTGTGCAGGAGAGAGGGCTGAAATCGGTCGCCTGCGTTCAGAGTCCGCGCGAGAGTTGGCTTATCTGAGGGCAACTCTCTTGAGGGAGGAAAGGATTTTTGGGGGGAGATTGGAGTACAAGTCGTTCTGCGAGAATCCGTTATCAGCACATCCGTTATCATCACCTCCGTCCATTAGACGCAAAAGAAGGTCACCATGGCGATCCTGCAGCGCGCCGAGCCGTGTCTGGCGTCCCTGCTCGCCCTGCTCCTCGTCCTCGTCCTCTCGCAGACTGCCACGCGTGCTGCTCACGAGGATGGCTCAAGTCCCGATGCGCTCAGCACCCTCAGATTCGGGCGGCGCAAGACGCTCGTGATGCCAGGTGAGGGATTTTTCAAAAGTGGCGATTTAAGAACTTATGAACTAGTCCTGCGTCTCTGCGTCTCTCCGTCTCTGCGTCTCTGCGTCTCTGCGTCTCTGCTATCCTGTCGTGTTACTATGCACTCATTGTGCCTGCCTCACACATCCCTCCTTCCCTCCTCTCCCCTCCTGCCAGGCCTACCGCCCGTGTCCACGGGGCTGCTGCTACCCCTCACCCCCAACATGTGGGCGTCCATCCGCCGCCGCAACCCCAACTTCCGCCACGCCAGCGTTGGCTTTGTCCCCCCTTTCACTGGCAACGGCAGCAGCAACGGCAGTGGCGAGGGTGCAGCCCCGCGGTGGACGTACCTTGACCGCGTTGACTGGCAGCAGCGCCGCATGGTGCGGCCTGTGCAGAACCAGGCCTCCTGCGGTGAGGCCCTGCCCCTTCACCTGCCCCTTCACCTGCCCTTTTACCTGCCCCTTCACCTGCCCTTTTACCTGCCCATGTCTCCCCTTATCACCTCTTGGCCTCTCTTCCACCTTCCCTTGCTCCCCTTCCCTCTCCCCATGCTCTACTTTTCTTTCCCTTCCCTTCATCTTTTTTTTTTTTTTGGGACTCTCACCTCCCTCTTTATCACACCCTTTTTGTTTTGTCCCCGATGCTCTCCCTCCCAAATCAGCGGCGAGTTGGGCGATGGCAGCAGTGGCTGCAGCAGAACCCCTCTACGCCATCGTCACCAACTCGCCTCCCCCCGCCATCTCTGCTTGCTCTCCTAGTAACCCACTCCTCCTCTCCCCTCTCTTGCCCCCCCCCCCCACCCCCCCCAATCCAATCAGCCGCATGTTGGGCGATGGCAGCGGTGGCAGCAGTCGAGTCGCTCTACGCCATCGCCACCAACTCGCCTCCCCCCGCCATCTCCACCCAACGCCTCCTCGAGTGCGCCCCCAACACCCCCCGCACCCCCGCGCTTGCCGGGGCTGGGAGTGGGAGCAACGACACGGGAGGAGGGGGAACGTGGCTGGATGGTTGCGAGGGGGGGTGGTCCGCAGAGGCACTTGATTTCATGGCGGTCACTGCCCTCCCCTCTGCTGCTGCTGTGCCTTTCATCGGAGCGCGGGGTACCAAGAACGCCTCTCGGGGTTCCCTCTGCCTGCAGCAGCAGCAGCAGCAGCAGCTGCAGCCGGCGCCGCCGCTGGTGTATGCTGATAACTCCGTGCCGTTCACGCGCCGTACCCCTTATAAGGGCCCCTTTAGCATCACAATGTTCGAGGAGACCGGGCTGGAGGGGTACCTAGGGATGATCCTGGCGCTGCAGCGACAGCCCGTGGTGGCGGCCCTAGAGGCGGACCAGCCTTCGTTCATTCAATACGATGGGGTGAGTGCTGGTTGGTGGGATGGTAGCTTGGTTGGTTGGATGTCTGTTCGAGGAGACAGGGCTGGAGGGGTACCTAGGGGTGATCCTGGCGCTGCAGAGGCAGCCTGTGGTGGCAGCCCTTGAGGCGGACCAACCGTCCTTCATTCAATACGACGGAGTGGGTGGGTATATGATGGGGTGGGTGGGTATACGATGGTTGGTGTGGCCTCCCTTTCTCACTCTTCTTCTCTTTTCCTTACGTTCTGTTATCTTAACCGCCCTTTTATCTGCCTTTCCGTCTCCCTCCCTCTCCCCCCCACCCACCCCCACACCCACCCTCCCATCCAGTCTTTTGTCTACTCGGACCCCTCCTGCTTCCTCAACGGCCTAGTGGACCACTCTGTACTCGTTATAGGCTACGACCTCACCGACCCCACACCGCACTGGATCGTTCTCAACAGCTGGGGCTCCTGGTGGGGGCGCTGGGGCACCATGCGCCTGGCCATGGCAGGGGGGGACGGCATATGCGGAATTCACTCCATGCCGGCCCTTTACCCGGTTATCACCACTCCTGATCCGTGCTTTCCCATCAACCCCTGTGGCGGGGGGAAGTGCGGTGTGGATCCTGGGACTGGGGGCAACACGTGCGAGTGCCCTGAGGGGTTCCGGGTGACTGTTAACATCGATGGGTCGCAGTCGTGTGCGCTGGGTGAGTGAGAAGCAGGGAGTGGGAGCGGGTGTGTAAGTTACATCAGCATCAGCATCAGCATCATCATTAGCAGCCGCATCAGCATCAGCATCTGCATCTGCATCTGCATCAGCATCAGCATCAGCATCAGCATCAGCATGAGCATCAGCATCAGCATCAGCATCAGTGCATCAGCATCAGCATCAGCATCATCATCTGCATCTGCATCAGCATCAGCATCAGCATCAGCATCAGCATCAGCATCAGCATCAGCATCAGTGCATCAGCATCAGCATCAGCATCAGCATCAGCAACATACATCATACATCATACATCATACATCATACATCATACATCATACATCATACATCATACATCATACATCATACATCATGCATCATGCATCATGCATCATGCATCATGCATCATGCATCATGCATCATGCATCATGCATCATACATCATACATCATACATCATACATCATGCATCATGCATCATGCATCATGCATCATGCATCATGCATCATGCATCATGCATCATGCATCATACATCATGCATCATACATCATGCATCATACATCATGCATCATACATCATACATCACACATCATGCATCACACATCATGCATCATGCATCATGCATCATGCATCATGCATCATGCATCATGCATCATGCATCATGCATCATGCATCATGCATCATGCATCATGCATCATGCATCATGCATCATGCATCATGCATCATGCATCATGCATCATGCATCATGCATCATGCATCATGCATCATGCATCATGCATCATGCATCATGCATCATGCATCATGCATCATGCATCATGCATCATGCATCATGCATCATGCATCATGCATCATGCATCATGCATCATGCATCATGCATCATGCATCATGCATCATGCATCATGCATCATGCATCATGCATCATGCATCATGCATCATGCATCATGCATCATGCATCATGCATCATGCATCATGCATCATGCATCATGCATCATGCATCATGCATCATGCATCATGCATCATGCATCATGCATCATGCATCATGCATCATGCATCATGCATCATGCATCATGCATCATGCATCATGCATCATGCATCGTACGTCGTACATCATGCATCATACATCATGCATCATGCATCATACATCATGCATCATACATCATGCATCATACATCATGCATCATGCATCATACATCATGCATCATGCATCATACATCATACATCATACATCATGCATCATATATCATGCGCTGTGCTAATCTTCCCATTCCCACCACCCCCACTCTACTCTCCGCCCACCTGCTTCCCTCTCCTGCAGCGCGGCGTGTGACACAGGCACATGCATCTTCAGCACCATGCACGCCCAGGCCACCAAACCCTTTCCCCCCTCATCCCCTCCCCTCTGCCTTTCTTCCCCCCCTTGCAGCGCGGCGCTGTGGTTTTTCCATGGTGAATCCGTGTGACACAGGCACGTGTGGAGCCCACTCAACGGACACAGCATATAGATTCCTCCCCCTTCCCTCCCCGTCCCTCTCACCTTCCCCCATGATCTCAGCCCGCCGCTGTGGCTTCTCCATGGTGAATCCCTGTGACACGGGCACGTGCATCGACAGCACCACCAGCCCGGGCGGCTACTCCTGTCTCTGCCCGCCGCCCACCCAGCGCGTCAACAACACGGACGGCACGCAGACCTGCGTGGTGCCGCCCCCGCCTCCCCCCACCAACTACTGGGACACCCCCGGCGCTGGCGGTGGTGGGGAAAGCGGCGGCAGCGGCGGCAACAGCGGCAGCAGCGGTGGTGTCGGCAGCGGTGGTGTCGGCAGCGGCAATGGGGCAAGTGCAGGGGTGCGGAGAGTGCGAGTGGTGGAGGGGATGACGTGTGGCATGCTGGCCCTCACCTTCTGCATCGCAGTGGACCAACTCCAGCAGACCAACCCTGTAAGCGCACGCTTCTCCTTGCTCTCTGTCTCTCACACACTCCACACATCCCATGTATGCTAGTCAGCAAGTCCCATCACCCGTGGAGGGCATGGTGTGTGGCATGCTGGCGCTCACCTTCCACGTCACAGTGGAACAGCTGCAGCAGACCAACCCTGTAAGCGCACCAATCCTTCTAAACAACCCGCATCTGATTCCCGACCTTCTCGTCTCACTCCTTAAGCCCTCTCTCGTACCCTGTGTGCTGTGGCTGCTGTGTGCCCTCACTGGCTGCTACAACAGGGCATGGACTGCAGCAAGCTGGAGGTGGGAGCGACTGTCACAGTGAACACCACAGCGGCAGCCACCGTGTGCTCACTCTCCTATGCTGCCTCCCTGGTGCGACTGCGACTCACACCCCCCTCACTGTTCGCCCTTTCACCCAGCACACTACTCACTCTCTCACACTCCCCTCACTACCACCTCTCGCTAACCTTCTTATTCCGCCCTAGTCATGTCTTTGCTTTCAACAGTACCCATTAGCACCTCGTGTTTCTGATGGCCTTTCCAAGGTGACTGGGTCTCCTGGAAGGTGACTGACTGTGTGTGTTGCCTGTGTGCAGGGGGACACATGTGCTTCGATAGTGGATCTCTTCAATACAAGCACATCCGCTCTCCTCGCTCTCAACCCCCAGCTCGACTGCACCGTTCCCTTCTCCTCCAGCCAATCGGTACTTGTTTGCACCACCCCCATGCCTTCCCTCCCTGCTTTCCCTCTCTGCCTTCCCTCTCGTGTTCCTCCCTGGTCTTTGCATCTACCCCATGGCCGTCCTGCTAAACTTCTTACTCCTTTCCCCTGTATCCCCCACCTCCCGTCAGATCTGTGTGGCAGCTGCATTGACCCCTCTCCCTCGCCGCTGCGCACGCTGGTACACCCCCCAGCCGGGCGACACGTGCCCCACCATCATGCGGTCCGTCGCCTCGCCTCCCCTCCCGCCCGCCCACTTCATCGCTCTCAACCCCGGCCTCTCGTGCTCGCTGCTCGACCAACCTAATGCCACAGTGGGCGCTGGAGTCCAGGTGAGGATGGGGGGGGCAAATACAAGAAGAGGCTTCTTTGCAGCAGGTCTGATAGTTTGCGTCATTCTCCGATTCCAGTCTTTGCATGAACAAGAAGCTTCATTGCATAACTTATTTAACCAACCTAAACCAGAGTTATGACAACAACAATCCCCCTCCCCCCCCCCCCCCCCCCCCCCCCCCCCCCCCCCCCAACTCTTGTCCTTTCTTTTGTTTGTTTTCCAGGTCTGTGTGAAGGCGGCTCCCAATTGGACGGGAGCAAGTAAGTGCGTGACAGATGATTTTTACTATGCCACACGAGGCGATACATGCGCTCGCATAATAGCGGTATATTTCCGCAACAGTGCACGACTTATGGCACAATATAATTACGGAGTAGTTTGCCGGAACCCTCTGTTTGTTGGCATGCAATTCTGTGTCCCTCCCCAGCGGAATTCCTGGCTCTATCCTTGACCTGGCTGGCAAGTCATAAATAATCAGCGCACATGGGTGTGTTTATTAATAAATAATGATGCATATTTTTGTGGTTTATATGAGATATGTAATTGTGAGGATTTTTGCCATCATGAGGGAATTATGTGGTGCTGAATGTACATTGTGACGTGTTCGAGCAAAATAGATTTCGAATGTTTTTTGCCCTGAAGCGCCCGTGCCACGCGCCTTGACTGTCACGACAAGCAAGCCTCGGTGGTGTGCCGTTGTTTTCCATCCCGGTGTGCTGGGGTTCAAGCGTGTTGGTTTCAGATTTCTCGCCGAACCTCAACCAGGGCTTTTTTTGGGAAAGTACATGCCAGCTCCTTAGTTTCAAAAATATCTCAAATCTACTCCCGAGGTTACCCAGAAAGTCCAACTTTGTGGAATTTCGCTCACGCGAGGCCCAGATTATGTTCAAAACTGGTCATGTGGGGCCAAAATTTCGACACGTGTCCATTTCACACCAATATTTTTTTAAACGGGTAAACAAAACATAATACCCCAAGGGAAACGGGACCCATGTCGAGAGGGATCAACCCTAAACACTGGGCGTGTTCCCGTGTTTAGGGTTGATCCCTCCCTAAAAGTGTCCTGGTTTCCCTAGGGGTATTATGTTTTTTTGCCCCGTTTAGAAATTCTTGGTGCGAAATAGACACGTGTCGAGAGTTGAGCCCCGCAGGACCAGTTTTGAACATAATCTGGGCCTCGCGTGAGCAAAATTACACAAACTTAGACTGTTTGAGTCAACTTAGGGTTAATTGTGAGAGAATCCTGAAAAATGGAGCTGGCATGTACTTTCCCTTTTTTTTTTCCGAACCTAGAATTTACGCGATGACTGGCCGCAGGCTAGGCAAAACTCGGGTTCACCTTGGAGGACCACGCCTCGGGAACACCTAGCAACATCGCGTCGCGTCACCCCATCATTCGTTCACTCGCTGGCGCTTCCCCTAATTCACGGGGAAAGCAGCGTCGCCAGCTTCGCAGCACCTACAGTTGCGGCTTGCTCGCCACGCAACGACAAGCTCACCTCCGAAGGCGAATGCCGAAAGTTCGCCACACCGAAACGGGGAAAGTCAATTGGAGTGGTAACACAATGTCTCGCCTCTCCACCCACCAGCCGATGCCCCACAGCACATGTACAAAGAGGGGCGGAATAGCATTTCTTCCAACATTCGAATTTGACAATTTTCATCACTCGCTAACAAAACATCCCTAGCCGGTTCTATTGATGCAACAACAAAGTCACCTCTGTGTTTCCTGTAGTAGCAGAGCCAGCCTCAACATTCCTGAAAACAGTCAGCGCGTCATCGCTCACATCCGCTTCCACCCGCCAACCCAATCCCAGTTTCATACCAACTCTGTTTCTTACTCCCGCTCAATAATCTCGCCATCCCTTTCGTCGCTCATGGCCCTCAAGCAGCACGACACCTTTGCGCCAGCTTCTCACAACACCCGCTCGAGCCGAATGATCCGCCAGATCAAGTCCTCCTCGTTCCATCGAGAGGCCGCGCACACCTTCGATACGATCGACCTCGACAAGGACGGCAAAATCTCCGCCCACGAGCTCGCAACTCTCCTAGCCCGCCTGGATAATTCCCTTGCCGAGTCGACGCCTGGACGGCGCGGTAGTTCGCGCGAGGCAGGAGGCGATCTGATTGGCTTCGCGGAGGATGTGATTCGCGAGGCTGACGTGGACGGTGACGGAATGATCGATTTTGAGGAGTTTTTGCTCTCGGCGCGTGCAGGCCCGTCCCTGTTGGGCGAACATTCCGTCTCCGTTGCATCGTCAGATGAGGAGGAGGATGAATCGGACGGTGGGGGTAATTCAGAAAAGGATGTGAGGGAAGAGGATCTGTTTCGCGCGTTTGAAATCTTCGACCTGGACGGCAACGGTGTAATTTGCCCAAAGGAGCTGCGATACGTGGTTGGTGTCCTTAGCGGGGATGATTTGACTACGGAAGACTGCGAAAGGATGATAAAGCGTGTGGACCAAGACGGGGACGGATACGTGGATTATGACGAATTCAAGACCATGATGGCCGGGGTTTTCGATTGACAAATGGTGGCTGGGATCTGCCTCTAGTGTCCAAGTTTCTTGCTTTCATTTACCAAAACTGATTGTAAATGCTAGGCGAACAGTAAGTTTACATCAAATAGAATGCAATAACTCCTGTACATAAGACTTATCAATCAGCATCACCGTTGCCGTCCTTCCATGCCTGGTGAAACTTCACCGCAGCCAGCAGGGCCGTTGCAAGAACCTTCTCAGCATCTTCCTGGTTGCTTCCAAAAAACGCGTACCGGATAGCGCGGCTGTGCAAGCCGCCCATCTCCAGGTGCGGCACAATGGCAATCTGGGTGGCAAACTCCCTCACTGCCGCCTGCAGGCCCGTGAAGTCCCACCCTAGTGCTGCTGACTTGGCCTGCCATAGCGACAGGAACTGGAGGAGGGGGGTTGGGAAATGCAGGGCAATGGGAGGGTGGGTTGAAGAGCTGGGAATGCCTGTGCGTCGTTGTTCGGACTCGCAAGCCAGAGTGCGCCTGACTTGGTCTACCATGAGAGGATTTGGCAGAGGAGAAGAAAAGGAGATGGAGACATAAAACCGGGGCAAAGTCTTTTCCAATTCTCATGAACACCTAGGAGCTTTGACGCACCTTGAACGTGTCCCCGGTGTGAGTGAGCAGCAGCACTGCAGCAGATTTTTCTGGAACTTCATTCTTACATGAAACATGTTTTCAGGGTGAGCCAGCCTGCCATGCTGTACCTTGCACATGTCCCATCTTCACCTCTACGCACCTTGAACGTGTCCCCACTGTGTGTGAGCAGCACTGCAGCGTTGCCCACAAACGGCACACTCTCATGAAACAGAGTCCCCGCCTTACCCGCCAGCCCATACACCCCATCCCCTGACCGCCCCACCAGCCCTATCAACGGCCGCGCCTTCCCCTCCCCTCCCTCCCGCTCCTCCTCCCCTGCTGCCCCTTGCTCCCCTCCCCACCTCCCCTTTCCGCCCCCACCATGCTTCTCCTGCCGCTCATCCGCTCTTCCCCTCCTCTCCTGCTCCGAATTCCCATCCGCCACCAGGTGGGCAGGGTCGGAGGGGAACCAGGTCTGGTTGGCCATGTCAATGCCCGACCGCGTGATCCACTCAAAGGTGTCGGGCTGGGCGAGGCGTGCGAGCCAGTGCTCCACGGGCAGGCTGTGCTGCTCCAGACGTATGTATCCTCCGTCTACCAGGGCTAGCACCCAGCGACAGCAGCACGCCAGCTGGCGGTTTATGAACGCGATCTGGTAGGGACAGGGAGTGTGGGAGAGGGGGGAGGAGGAGGGGAGAAGGAAAGGGAGAGGAGGAGGAAACAGCGAGAGGAGGAACAGCATAATGACGGGCCTTTTGTAAGTCTGTCTGTGTGGGAAGGCGTGCCCGCCAGTGCTCCACGGACCTGCTGTGCTGCTCCAACCGCAAGTAGGCGCCGTCTACCAGGGTCAGCACCCAGCAGCAGCACGCCAGCAGGCGGTTTATGAACACAATCCGTGGGTAGGGGGGTGGTGGGATAAGGGAAGTAAATGAAGAGAGTTTTGAGGCGTCTCAGCATGTGGAGGAAAGGTTGGGGAAGATAGGGTAGCATGGGAGAGATACAAGGTGCGGGCTTTCCTCGTGTCAATAGGAGGTGTTAAAATCAAAGGACTGCCACACAGCCCACGTGCTGCAAGCGTACCCAGTTGTAACCACGTACCCTGTTAATGGTGTTGGGGTCGATGCCTTCGCTTATGAGCATGGGCGTGATGGCTTCTATGGAGTAAAAGGTGTAGCCATGGCGCTGCGCGTACAGCCTGGAGAGGGCAGCAGAGAGACAAGAGGAAGGCAATAGTACATACTCAGCAATGTGATGATGGAGTGAGAGAGAGAACAATGGAACGCTGCGGCTTATGAGTCATGGGCACTGCTTCTGCTGTGATCCATGCAGTTAATGCCAAAAGCCAACTGGCCTCATCCTGATACGTCTCTCTTTCTTCCTTCCTGGTCCTCCCCCTCCTCCCTGCAAGCACCACCCACCCTTCCCTATCCACCCCTTCCATCCCCTCCACCCCCATCCCCTTCCACTCCCGTTCACCACATTCCACCCACATCCTCTCTCACTGGTTGATAAGCTGCGAGGAGAGCCATGACGGCAGGTGCTTGGCGTTGTCCTCCAGATAATCCGGGGATGACGTGTCGGCCAGCAGGGACGCGTTGATGCTGCCGCGATCAACGGCCAGGATGCATTGCTGGTTGAGGTGAGCACCACTGGCTGGCAGGGTGGGGAACGGGAGGGAGTGTGAGGGAGCAGTGCGAGTGCAGTAACGTGCAAATTCAGCAACGCTTGACCAGAATTGCATGTATCCACAAACCCTAATTTCCCCTGGCATGTGTACCTTGTGTGCCTGTCGACTTGCTGGAAGGGTTGGTGAGCAAACTCTTGATGTCTCTTAAAGCCGTATCCACGTCCGCTGCTTGATCCCTTGATTCTTGCAGCAGCGATTGGATCTGATGACGTGGCACGAAGGAGCGAGGATAGGGGTGTGATGAGGACGGGGAAATGAGGGGAAGCTTGAACACCAGGATAGGGGGATGCATGACACCGAAAGTACTGTACTGTACCTCTGTACATTTGCTTCTCAACCATATCATAATGCATACTGATCCAAGAAGGAGGATCCATCGACCGTTGTTGTTGAGGCAATATCGCGGACGCCAACGACGGCGATATCTATGAAGAGACGTCGCACCTCAGCGACGGTGGAGAAGTGGTGCTGATGGAAAGCGACGGCGACGAGGATGGCGAACAGCGACCCGGCGACCATGCCTAGATTATGCCACGTCGCATCGGAAACAGACTTCGATCCTGCTGCCATCGCGACTGGTTTACAAGGTGACAGACGTTTCAACTCACTCAGACAAGTAACATCTCAGGTTAAGGTGTACAGGATCTGAAGCAAGCTTCGATTTCATTACCATCCCGCCTACGACAAAAACCATTGCTGTACTGCAGCTAATGCCATGGCGTGCCAGAAACGGACCCAAATTTTATTGCTGGCATGTTCAGGCTACACATTCGTGGTCATTTCCTCGTAGCCGTCGCATCGCTAATCCTGGGCGAGCGGCCGTTGGAATGAGTAGTTTCAAGAGCCTATGCAGGCGCACTGCACACGAATGCTGAATCTACCTGCAGTCTAAGTTCTCTAACGACGTGTCGCCGCGAAGTCAGGTAATGAAGAAAATAGCCAGGGCTGAGGGTTGCATAGCTATCCTCGATACTGGACTGTTAATTGTTGATTCATTGGCTGCACACGATATCATTAGTTCCCGAAACCGTTTCGATTAATCGGGCACAAAACATCAATTGCTAGAAAAAACAGAGACGGCAACGCATTAGCCAGCATCAATGATAGAAAACTTACGATCAGTTGGTGGCAAACATCATCCAAGTCAAAATCAGAAGAATTTGGTAGGTATCGATCAAAAGTAACAAATGAGACAGGTAAACCAATCAGCTTAGAGTGGGAGTCCAAGCGGCAAGACGGAATGGTGAAAGGAGGAAACACCCTGCCCAAGAGACACCGACGATATCCCAGGAGGGAAGAGCGGTGCACACGCCCCCCTTGCCCCAGCCCCTCCACCCTGCAAGTTCGGCGCAGTAGACGACAAAGCTGCTGCAAGCTGAGGGGAGGGGGAGCGAGCGAGGGGCGAGGAACCCCAAATGCCAGGCTGCGAGGGCTGAGAGGGCTGCATGGAGCCGTTGCTCCCATTGCTCCCATTGCTCCAGATGGAGGCTCCAAGGAAAGAGGAGGACATGGGGATGGACATAGATCCTCCCGTGAAGGACTGCAGACCTGACCCCACCAACTGCCACTTGCTGCTCCTGCACAGGGTGGGACGTGGGGTGGCAGCAGAGATGGGAGCAGCATTGAGTGAGAGGGTGCTTCGATTCCAAGGGGCATAGGTGATAAGATCAGGGCAACAGATGCTAGAGGAAGGTGAGGTGCACACACAGCATTAGATGAAAGCAGCATGTTTGAAAGCAGCATGTTTGAAAGCAGCACTCAAGCAGCAACGACTGGCAGAAGGTAATAAAATCAACAAGTGCAGAGAGTGAGTCGGACACTTACTCTGCAGCACCCCCCAGCTTGGTGGAACCCACAGCAGCCGTCGCACTGTTCTCCTGCCCCCAGATGCTCGCAATAGCAGCCACTGCAGCATCCGCATCCCCTCCACACCACGTCCCTCTTGCTGCCACCACACTCCCTGCCGCCCCAACCTCACTCCCACTCCGCCCAGACACCCCTCCAGCGCTGGTATACCCTGAGAAATACCCTGCAGCACCAGTATACCCTGCAGAACCGGAATAGCCTGCTGCACTGGTGGTGGTGTAACCTGCAGCGCTGGAGTAGCGAGAGGTCAGCAGCGGCGAGCCAAACGAGGCAGAGGAGGACGCGCCTGCACCCAAGGCGGAGGCGGAAGCAACTGTTCCCGACGCCCCCCACCCCCATGCTGCTGACTCCACCGATTGCACGCCCAGATTCCCCCCTCCTGCTGCTGTACCCGCCGCGCCAAAGGATGCTATCCCGGTCGACCCGGACAGCCCTAGCCCCGACCCAGCCCGCGCTGCTGTGGCGGTTGCTGCGGTGGCGGCCTGCGCCTGCACGTCCGCCTGCCCCAGCACGCCCGCTCCCCCGTCCGCCTTCTTGGCGCCCGCGGACGGGCCAAACCCAGGAGGCGGGGACAGGGGCGCAAAGCCAGGGGGAGCGGGAGGGCGGAAGCCGGGAGGCGGAGTGACAGGCTTGGAAGGGGCGGTCTTAGGAGCAGCGGCGGACGAAGGAGCAGCGGGGGTAGCGGAAAGGGGAAATGTGGTAACTGCTGCTGGTGCTACAGTCATCATGGCCGCAGGCGCCATTGCTGCTACAGCCGGCGCAACCGCTCCTGCTGCTGCAGCAGCTGATGCTGCGGCGGCACCCGAGAAGCGGCTCTGAGACTGCTTCGCTGCGGCGACGATCTCACTGGCGCGCTGCATCTCGTCCGTCGACCATCCCACGCCCACGAACGCCTGCTGCAGCTGCCGCTGCAGCGCGTGCAGCTGCTGCAGCCGCTCCAGCCCGCTCCCGCCGGACGACGCCCAGCCCGCAACAGCAATCCCGTTACAAGCCATCCCGTTAGCGGCGGATAGGATGGGTTTGGAGAGGGTAGCGGCGGAGGAGGTGGAGTGCGGCGAAAGCCACGTGGAGAAGGACGGCGAGGAGATGCTGCCGTGGGGGCCGACAGAGGCGAGCGGGATGGATGAATCGGTGCTGTGCGGTGACGCGGCGTCCCGAATCCTCTGGAGAGACGGAACCGACGTGGATGGCTTGGGCGCAACAGAACTGGCAGGTTCAGGGACCGATGTCCGAACCACGCTGCTCTCGCATGCGCAGCTCTGCGTTTCAACTGCTTTCACCTCACCAGCTTCTGCTGCGGTTGCTTGCGCGGCGGAAGCACCAAGCTCGGCACGGCCGGGGCTGTTGAGCAGCATTTCTGCGAGCTGGTCGCTCAGGCTGAACCCCATCTCATCGTCCGACGAGCTCCCTCTCCCGCTGCTGCTGCTCCTGCTGCGCCCGCCGCCGCCGCCGCTGCTCTTGCTGCTACCGCTACCGTTACCACTGCCACTGCCGCTGCCGCTGCTGCTATCGTTGCCGTTTCCGCTGCCGCCGGTGGCGGTGGCGCTGTTCCTCGCGTTGCTCCTGCTCGTGGCCCCGCCGTTGCCGACGCTGGTCGCGCCGCCGTCGCGCGCCGGCTCGTGAGACGCGGTGGCGGACACGCGAGGGGCGGAGCCGGCAGGCACGGGCGGGTGACTGACAGTGCGAGCCGACGCCTTGGCGGAAGAACGAACGGCGGCATCCGCCGCAGCACCACCCGAGGCTTGCGGAGGCTGTTGCTTCCTACCCGCCGGCACAGAACCCCCAGAAGCGACCGTCGCGGACTTGGCACCCTCACCCGCTTTCCCCGCTTCCTTCCCCTTCTCCCCGCTGGGCTCCTTCCGTGCGTCTCTACCCGCAGACTTCCCCGTTTGAGCCTGACTCGATACGGCGGACACAGGCGCGGCTGTCGAAGCTGGCTCTGTCTTGAGCGCGGGCCACGACGCAGCGGTGGTTTCAACGCTAGGCGCGGCATGGGCGTCGGAAGATAAGCGCCGAGCGCCCGCAGCCGCAGCTGCGCGGCTCTGCGTCCCGTGACTCGGAGCGACATGGCTCTGCGAAGCCGGCTGCTGAGGCGGGTCGAGCGGTAGGAGCGGCGGAAACGAGGATGGCGGGGCTGCGGCTGTGGCTGTGGTTGTGGCTGTGGCTGTGACTGTGGTTGAGACTGATGCCCATGGCGCTAAGGACGACGTTGCTGATGATGACGATGCTGCTGCGGCTGCTGCTGCTGATGACGATGATGGTGGCAGGAATGGTGGGGCGGCTGACGGTGGAACGGCAGGACGAGGCTTCTCCCATGACGGCCCTCTTCTGGGTTGAACTGGAGGGGGCAGGCGAAGGGGAGGGGAGATGGGCACGGCAACGGAGGGACTTTCAGATAAGAAACAAACACCACACGGGATAATGATAAGCTAATGGAGGAGAAAGGTTACGCGACGACGAAGTGACTAGAACACACCTGAGAGAGGAGGCGACGACGATAGAGTCGGGAATTCAGACGAGGCGAGTATCGGCGGAGCGGGCGACACTCGCGAATGGTGGCGATGATCGCCAGCTCCCAGAATCGACACTCCTAACGACGCTCCCGCGATCGACGCCCCCTGCTCGGAAGCCTTGCTGTCGCCGTTGCGAGAGATCGACCCCCGCCGTTTACCCGACGACGCACCCGATGCGGTTGGCTGCGGTGGCGCCGCCATTTGCGGGTCGCCATAGGGCGAGCGGCAGCTGGGACAGATGCCTTTGAGCTCGAGCTTGATTCGCTCGTAGCAGAACAGACACACGCGGTAGCTGAGGGGGGAAAGGAACATAGAAAATGAAAAAGGAGATGTTAAGTGAGGGATGACGATGGAAAAACGAGAGAATTTGCAGGAAGCAACAGTAACCTAGTAACCTAAGAAGCATGACTGTCGTCGCCGCCTTGCGACGTCAGATCCAATCACCTACGTTAACCTCACCCGACCCCCGACAAACGCGGCTGACTCAAACACTCTTAGGTCAGATCTAACTTTCCTATCTCATAAGATGAGGTTCCCGATGGACCTGCGGTGCGTGGCACTAGACGCTCACCCGCAGGGGCACGGCCGGAATTGGATCTCGGTGGCGTCGAGCTCTTCAATGCAGAGCGGGCACACGGGGTCCTCGTCCTCCTCCTCTTCCTCCTCGAAGACCCGCTCGTCCCTCACTCGCTCCGCGGCCTTGGCTGTCGTCTGCTCCATGGTCGACCACTCCACGGCGTACGACTTCACCACGCCGGTTCCAGGCTTTCCCCAGGCCATGATTCGCGAGTGATGAGGAGCTGGAGTGAGAGAGCGAGACGGTGGGAACAGGCAGCAGCAACGGTATTGGCTGGAAAGCGAAGTGCGACGTTGGCAGATGTGAAAGAAACTGGAGGTTTGAAGGGAAGTGGTGATTTGGAGGACAGCGACACCCAGCTTTTGTGATGGCAGGTTGAGTAGGGGAGGATGTGGGGTGGCCTACGGCAGTGCGGTGGAGGTGCAGATGAAGGGAGGAGATGTCGCCACCCGATCAGATCCACGGATCAGATGCGAGGAAGAGATGAGATCTAGGGGGGGACCGAGGGCATTGGGGGTGGTGCTGGCGGGGGAGATTGGGGTTACGCGGTTGGCGAAAAGACTGTTGTGGTCAGCGAGAAACAGCGAAGTTTACTATGCGACCCCGAAAGGCATCGTACGGCAGGGCGAACCTCATGGAAGAGAAACCTAGGGTGCGACCGACAGCAACGTTGCGAAGCCACGTGTATAGCACGGTCGCGCGAATGTTTCTGGACGACCTGTCGTCAGATGGTAACCAGCTCTGGCAATTGGCGGCAGCGGGAACATGTAGGCGGGGTTGGTTGGGGCAGACGTTGGGGTGCGGTTGCTGCACTGACGTGCTGCGGAGAGCACACTCGGAGTCAGAAAACCCGGTGAGAGTTGCCGCCGAAAACGTGAGGGTTTGAGCCTTCAAATGAGCAAATCTCACTTGTGATATAGAATAATCTAACAGCTTACGCAAGGCGCATGAGATGAAGCTTGTTATCAAGTTCGACTTTGAAGAATGAAGTTTGCTGCTGGTTACCATGATCCACGGATCAGATGCGAGGAAGAATTGAGATCTAGAGGGGGACCGAGGTCATTGGGGGTGGTGCTGGCGGGTGAGATTGGGGTTACGCGGTTGGCGAAAAAACTGTTGTGGTTAGCGAGAAACGGCGAACTTTACTGTGCGACCCCGAAAGGCATCCATGAGGGCTCCGTTCGTTCATAGTGGCTCATCAGCCAGAGCAACAGAGGGAGAAGATGGGTGAGGAGATAAAACGTAGGTTGGTAGATGAGAGGAAACATTTGGATGAGCTAAGGGCGTGTCACCTCGGGTGGTAACCAGCTGTTCAAATTCCAAATTTTCGGGTGTTGGACCTGGTACGGTACGGTAACCTTTACGAACACTTCGGTTTAGTACGGTACTCGTTCGAACAAGCCCCTTTGAACACCCGAGGTGACACGCCCTAATGAAGATGACTTTGAAATCGACATGAGGTGGAAGTGGTGCAGTGTATGTGCCTTAGGGGTGCCACATAGGTTAGCCTAGCACGAGTGTCTAAGGGCATTATGACCAGATTAGATGCGAGATGGCTAAGGGCGTGTAACATTGCGATGACCGAAGCCAAAATCCGACCATTTGGTCACTTTGGCCGATATGCGAGGGAAGTGGTAACAAACACTTGGGGCGTTCTCTGTAGATAAAATGACCATGGTTGTGGCGTGGTCGATGTAGGGGCACCCACCCTAACTACCCCCGTAATAAGAATTCAAGGTCTAATCCAAAATTCAGCATTCGATGTGAGTGTGGATTATACGGGGCACGAGAAGATGGATTCACGTTCGCCCCCATTCACGTTCGCCCCCCTTCACCCCTGCATTCACGTTCGCCCCCATTCACGTTCGCCCCCATTCACGTTCGCCCCCATTCACGTTCGCCCCCATTCACGTTCGCCCCCATTCACGTTCGCCCCCATTCACGTTCGCCCCCATTCACGTTTGCCCCCATTCACGTTCGGCCCGATTCACGTTCGCCCCCATTCACGTTCGCCCCCATTCACGTTCGCCCCCATTCACGTTCGCCCCCATTCACGTTCGCCCCCATTCACGTTCGCCCCCATTCACGTTCGCCCCCATTCACATTCGCCGCCATTCACGTTCGCCCCCATTCACGTTCGCCCCCATTCACGTTCGCCCCCATTCACGTTCGCCCCCATTCACGTTCGCCCCCATTCACGTTCGCCCCCATTCACGTTCGTTCACGTTCGCCCCCATTCACGTTCGCCCCCATTCACGTTCGCCCCCATTCACGTTCGCCCCCATTCACGTTCGCCCCCATTCACGTTCGCCCCCATTCACGTTCGCCCCCATTCACGTTCGCCCCCATTCTCGTTCGCTCCACGCCATTCACGTTCGCCCCCATTCACGTTCGCCCCCATTCACGTTCGCCCCCATTCACGTTCGCCCCCATTCACGTTCGCCCCCATTCACGTTCGCCCCCATTCACGTTCGCCCCCATTCACGTTCGCCCCCATTCACGTTCGCCCCCATTCACGTTCGCCCCCATTCACGTTCGCCCCCATTCACGTTCGCCCCCATTCACGTTCGCCCCCAATCTCGTTCGCCCCCATTCACGTTCGCCCCCATTCACGTTCGCCCCCATTCACGTTCGCCCCCATTCACGTTCGCCCCCATTCACGTTCGCCCCCATTCTCGTTCGCCCCCATTCTCGTTCGCCCCCAATCTCGTTCGCCCCCATTCACGTTCGCCCCCATTCACGTTCGCCCCCATTCACGTTCGCCCCCATTCACGTTCGCCCCCATTCACGTTCGCCCCCATTCACGTTCGCCCCCATTCACGTTCGCCCCCATTCACGTTCGCCCCCATTCACGTTCGCCCCCATTCACGTTCGCCCCCATTCACGTTCGCCCCCATTCACGTTCGCCCCCATTCACGTTCGCCCCCATTCACGTTCGCCCCCATTCACGTTCGCCCCCATTCACGTTCGCCCCCATTCACGTTCGCCCCCATTCACGTTCGCCCCCATTCACGTTCGCCCCCATTCAGGTTCGCCCCCATTCATGTTCGCCCCCCTTCACGTTCGCCCCCCTTCACCCCTGCATTCACGTTCGCCCCCATTCACGTTCGCCCCCATTCACGTTCGCCCCCATTCACGTTCGCCCCCATTCACGTTCGCCCCCATTCACGTTCGCCCCCATTCACGTTCGCCCCCATTCACGTTCGCCCCCATTCACGTTCGCCCCCATTCACGTTCGCCCCCTTTCACCCATTCACGTTTGCCCCCATTCACGTTCGCCCCCATTCACGTTCGCCCCCATTCACGTTCGCCCCCATTCACGTTCGCCCCCATTCACGTTCGCCCCCATTCACGTTCGCCCCCATTCACGTTCGCCTCCATTCACGATCGTCCCCATTCACGTTCGCCCCCATTCACGTTCGCCCCCATTCACGTTCGCTCCCATGCACGTTCGCCCCCATTCACGTTCGCCCCCATTCACGTTCGCCCCCATTCACGTTCGCCCCCATTCACGTTCGCCCCCATTCACGTTCGCCCCCATTCACGTTCGCCCCCATTCACGTTCGCCCCCATTCACGTTCGCCCCCATTCACGTTCGCCCCCATTCACGTTCGCCCCCATTCACGTTCGCCCCCATTCACGTTCGCCCCCATTCACGTTCGCCCCCATTCACGTTCGCCCCCATTCACGTTCGCCCCCATTCACGTTCGCCCCCATTCACGTTCGCCCCCATTCACGTTCGCCCCCATTCACGTTCGCCCCCATTCACGTTCGCCCCCATTCACGTTCGCCCCCATTCACGTTCGCCCCCATTCACGTTCGCCCCCATTCACGTTCGCCCCCATTCACGTTCGCCCCCATTCACGTTCGCCCCCATTCACGTTCGCCCCCATTCACGTTCGTCCCCATTCACGTTCGCCCCCGTTCACGTTCGTCCCCCTTCACCCCTTCACGTTCACCCCCATTCACGTTCTCCCCCATTCACTTTCGCACCCATTCACGTTCGCCCCCATTCACGTTCGCCCCCATTCACGTTCGCCCCCATTCACGTTCGCCCCCATTCACGTTCGCCCCCATTCACGTTCGCCCCCATTCACATTCGCCCCCCTTCACCCATTCACGTTCGCCCCCATTCACGTTCGCCCCCATTCACGTTCGCCCCCATTCACGTTCGCCCCCATTCACGTTCGCCCCCATTCACGTTCGCCCCCATTCACGTTCGCCCCCGTTCACGTTCGCCCCCCTTCACGTTCCTCCCCATTCTCGTTCACCCCCTTTCACGTTTGCCCCCATTCACGTTCGCCCCCATTCACGTTCGCCCCCATTCACGTTCGCCCCCATTCACGTTCGCCCCCATTCACGTTCGCCCCCATTCACGTTCGCCCCCATTCACGTTCGCCCCCATTCACGTTCGCCCCCATTCACGTTCGCCCCCATTCACGTTCGCCCCCATTCACGTTCGCCCCCATTCACGTTCGCCCCCATTCACATTCGCCCCCATTCTCGTTCGCCCCCATTCATGTTCGCCCCCCTTCACGTTCGCCCCTCTTCACCCCTTCACGTTCAACTCCATTCACGTTCGCCCCCATTCACTTTCGCCCCCATTCATGTTCGCCCCCATTACCGTTCGCCCCCATTCACGTTCGCCCCCATTCACGTTCGCCCCCATTCACGTTCGCCCCCATTCACGTTCGCCCTCCTTCACTCATTCACGTTCGCCCCCATTCACGTTCGCCCCCATTCACGTTCGCCCCCATTCACGTTCGCCCCCATTCACGTTCGCCCCCATTCACGTTCGCCCCCATTCACGTTCGCCCCCATTCACATTCGCCTCCATTCACGTTCGCCCCCATTCACGTTCGCCCCCATTCACGTTCGCCCCCATTCACGTTCGCCCCCATTCACGTTCGCCCCCATTCACGTTCGCCCCCATTCACGTTCGCCCCCATTCACGTTCGCCCCCATTCACGTTCGCCCCCATTCACGTTCGCCCCCATTCACGTTCGCCCCCATTCACGTTCGCCCCCATTCACGTTCGCCCCCATTCACGTTCGCCCCCATTCACGTTCGCCCCCATTCACGTTCGCCCCCATTCACGTCCGCCCCCATTCTCGTCCGCCCCCATTCACGTTCGCCCCCATTCACGTTCGCCCCCATTCACGTTCGCCCCCATTCACGTTCGCCCCCATTCTCGTTCGCCCGC